CTTGTCGTGCCCATGATCTTGGGACAGAAGTGGCTCCAAGAACATCGAGCGGTGCTGGATTACGAGAGAGCGTGCATCCACTGGGGAACCCATACAAGGCAGACAACACACTGGGACCAAGCTCCGAACCGCGGCCCAACAACGAGCGACTCCATAAACTTCGCCGGAGTCAAGCACGGGTTCCAACCACCACTCGATCGACGCCTGGCCACACTGCTGGAAACTTTCGGTAGCACACTTGCCGATCCTGCAACGCCCACAACAACAGCATCCACCACACATCGCATCCGAGTCACCAAAACAACGCCCTTCCGACTTCCGCCATATCGACATTCGCCAAACAAAAAGAAGGTCATCGCGGATGAAGTGGAAGCTATGTTAGCAGCGCAGGTGATCGAGCCCAGCACGTCCGAATATTGCTCGCCCATCGTCATAATTCAGAAAAAAGACGGCCGCCCGAGATTCTGCATCGACTACCGTCGTCTAAACGCCATCACAAAAGACGAGAGCACCAACCTGCCAGTCATACAGGAGACCCTCCGAGACCTGGGGACGGCCAAAGTTTTTTCCAGCCTGGATCTCAAATCAGGCTACTGGCAGGTGCCGCTAGAGACGGAATCCCGACATCTCACCGCGTTTTCAACCCCTGATGGAGCGAGTTATCAATTCAAAGTAATGCCGTTCGGGCTCAAGAATGCACCTGCTACGTTCCAGAAGCTAATGACCCAGGACGTTCTCGCCGGGTATTTACGGAAATTCGTCATGGTATACCTGGATGACATAATAATCTACTCAGACTCCTGGGACGAGCACCTCAAACATCTACACCTCGTGCTGGAACGACTGCAACGCCACAAACTCCGCTTGTCCCTCGAAAAGTGTCGCTTCGGGGTGCAAACGATCCAATACCTGGGCCACAACATCACGGCGAACGGGAACCGCCCGTGCCAGGAACACATCGAAGCAATCCGGACCGCAGACCGGCCCACCTCGAGGAAGAAGCTAAGAAGTTTTCTAGGATTGACCAACTGGCTACGAGAGTACGTGCCCCGGTGTGCCGAATTACAAGCACCGTTGGATAACTTACTAACAAAGAACACCCCTTTCCGATGGACAGCGGCAGCCGACGTCGCCTTTAGCCAGTTAAAAGCAGCACTTAGCAAACCACTCCAACTCAGCCGTCCGGACTTCGCCACTCCATTCGTGCTGCAAACCGACGCCAGCGAAAACGGGATTGCGGCCGTACTCTTTCAAGAACCCCACCCCGGAGAGAAAAAAATTATCAGCTACGCCAGTGCCAAACTTAACCACGCGCAGAGACGCTACCATATCAACGAACAGGAGTGCTTGGCAGTAGTATGGGCCATTAAACGATACCGGCCATATCTGGAAGATAGACGTTTTACGTTGAAGACAGACAGCCGCGCTCTCCTGTGGCTGGATCGCACAAAAGACGAAAAGAGCAAGCTAACTCGTTGGGCATTACGGCTCCAAGAATTTACATTTGATGTGGTCCACTGTCCGGGGAAAGAAAACGAGCTTCCAGACCACCTGTCCCGCCACCCATCAGCAGAAGAAGCCGAAGAAGCCACGGCAGAAGACGTAAACCGCATGCTGCCACCTACGACCACACACGAGTCCAAACAAACCAACAGCACCCCGGTAATCGCGGCAGTGGAAGTGGCCAATTTGGCGGACCATGTGAAGGAGTGCCAAAAGACAAACGAAAACGCCATCGTTCTGGTACGCACCTGGCACAGAATACAGCAGGAAGGACCAGCGACACCAGCACAAGCAAGGTTCAACCGGGATTACACGGTGGACAACGGTTACCTCTACCGCAAAGCACCCCAAGGGAACCTACTCGTAGTCCCCTGCAGCCTTCAACCAGCGGTACTAGAAGCGTACCACAACGCAGCCACAGCTGGACACCCAGGAGCCGAAGAAACGGAACGGGCCATAATGACACATTACCACTGGGCGAAACTGGGAGACACGGTGCGGAATTATGTACGAGCATGTTGGATTTGCGCGGCAGTCAAAAGAGGCCCGGTCCAGGACGCCACCGTACGCCCACGCAAACCCACACGACCCTGGGAAGCGGTTTCCGTAGACTTGATGGGCCCCTACGACGCCACACCTACAGGCTACCGCCAGATAGTCGTGATCACGGACCTCTTCAGCATGTGGGTGGAGGCATTTCCAGTAAAGGAAGCAGTCGCTCCAACAGTGGTCAGAATCCTGGAACACGAGGTATTCGCACGCTATGGTTTCCCGAGAGCGATCATCTCAGACAACGGACCGCAATTCACATCAGTGACATGGGACGCGGCACTTCGGAAGTGGGGAGCAATGCACTGGACGACGCCCATATGGCACCCGCAGGCGAACCCCGTCGAACGCCGGAACCAAGAAATCAAAAAGGGCCTCCGCACTCATCTGGTGGGACAAAGCCCCAGCGCCTGGGCGGCCGTACTACCCATTGTCATGTTCACGTTACGTACGAGGAGAAACGCCGCTACTGGACTCACGCCGAGCCACGCGCTGCTAGGCTACGACCTACCCAGGCCAGGAGAGTGGAAAGCCAGGGATCGACCACCTCCACCGACAGGAGAAGCCCGAGAGGAGGTCGTACAGACGGTGCACAGGAACCAGGCACGATCCCGCAGCCGGTACGCGAACTACGGGCCAGCCCGCACCCAGTACCAAGTAGGCGACGGAGTGATGGAAAGATCCAGGGACCAACACTCCGGGAACTTTCACATGAAGTACACAGGTCCCTACACCATCGAAGCGCTGGCGGGCACAAACGCGTACTGGATAAGGCGAGGAAACGAACTGGTAAAGGTGCACGTACACGATCTACGCCCTGCACCCAACCAACCCACCCCGGCACCAGTACCGGAACTTCCGCCAAGAATCATTTCACCGACGCCACCACGGAACCAACGACAACCCCGTCACCGCCGTTTGCTACAGCGCCTGCACCCCGCCGTCGCAACCCCTTTACAGGGGGGGGATACTGTTACGACGACTAGGAGAGGGGTTGCAACTTCCACCCCACCATCCACTAGCGCCCTATTGGCCGCGTCGCCAGACGCCTCTACCGGAAATCGTTTATAAGCAGCGCACCGACAGGGGAACTTCACTTGTGCCTGGGCAAGCCTACCTTACCCTACACAAGCGACTGAGGCTGGTCGCTTGGGCTCAAGTACCGTCTCCGCACGCCATCACTTCCCGGCTTGACCGTAGTCAAGTCCGGCGCCATCCCACGTGCCAGAAGCGATCTTATATATGTACATATATCCTCTGTATTATTTGTAAATATTGTGTAATATACGTTTTCAACCTCCGTTTGCCACTTACGTTACCCCGCCCGGTAACAGAGACTGAATACTCGTCTTCGGTAATCTGGCAATTTTCCGATTTTCTTCGGTACGCGGTGAAGAATCGTTTTCGCTCTCTTGTACACTACACTGGCTCGATGGAGATGATTTCACTCGGTTCTTTTGCTTGCTTTTCTTACAAAGGTCGACTTAACGCTCTATTATGAAACTCCGCGCTTATAATTTAGGGCGCCACTGACATAGAAGCTGCTCCGCAAAAGGGCGGCGAGCAACTCCCTAGTCCCTTCTGTGGTGCTTGAAATCCCCGTATTTATACTTTCGTAGTTTGTATCCATTGTCCTCAATTCGCTTTGCCGCGCAAACTCACACATGTATAGCTTGAACGTCCATGAATTAAGATTTTGCCAATTTGACAGCGGTAGCTCTAAATGAATTATTTACAATGACTCGGACTTTGACCTTAGCGTTAATGCTCGTTATTTCTATGCAGTTTTTTCCCTAATTTACATTATTAATAATCATTAATAATCATTTACCTATACTCCTGTGTCTTGAAATAGACAACTTGTTATACCATAACAAGCAGGCATTTTGTTTAGTAAATAAAGTTTCTCTCTCGGTGAACGCAATTCTATTTACACCGCGATTATTACTTGTATTAAATTTTCTTTCTGCTTCATAGCGGCTATATTTAAAATGTACATTCGGATACAATGACTTGAAATAGATAAATTCCTTTAAATGCATTCTCATTCAGTCACATCATTCGTCCTTGGGAGTCATGATTACATTTAGACTTTACATTTTAATTACGTAAAAATAAAACTTTAAATAACCAGAGTACAGAAATATACTGTTACAAACCAGCTGAAAGGTAAATTAAAGAAGATATGTAAATTGGATAACTGGGAACGTAACTCCCAACGACATTTTGACATCTTTAATGTATTTAAAACGTTTGTTTGGGTTACATTCACCACTCAATTTTTTACATACCTAATTTGTTCACCATGTATAATTATACCTACTTGAAAAGGTTGAGTGAAATTACGTTTATGATAAGGTGACAATGTTCTTGAAAGCCAATACTTAAAAAAAGGTTCTTTCCTGTACTTTCAGCGGTACCATTATTGTCAATTTAGTCTGAAATATAATTAATTAAAAAATCAATAGTTATGCAATTAACTACATTAGGTACGGCAGTTACCTTCAGGTCAACTTTTCAAAGAGCAAAGAAAACTTAAAAAAACATAAGATATTTGTCTCTTAGCGTATCAACGCACCAAAGAAATCATTGGCAGCACTTTTTCATGAGAAGCTATAATAAAATATTAAAGGGTTAGGTAATATACAACAAAACCCTAACGCCTCTAAACTCGTTATTTTGAAAACATTTTAAAGCTTGAGCGATTTAGTAGTTGTTTTTCGTTTCAATCTTTGTATTGCAGCCGATTGATCTGAGATTAATTACCTAAATATGTTCTCACAAAAGTAGGTACCTATATTTCACCAATCAGCATGTGTAGGTACAACAGCATAAAAGGACACTTTACACAGTAGGTTACTTTAATATTCACGCCAATAGTACACTAGCGCCACGCTTTTCACAATAGTGAAAAGAAATTCAAAATTTTCATGCTTTTCAATCCGTAGGATCCAGAAGACCAAGTTTAACATCAATACATAGTACTTCATCAGTTCGTAGTTTTAGTGCAAGACGATTCGAAAGAGAAAAAGAACAAAAAGAAGAAAGAGAAATGCAAAGGCGGTTTGCACGAATAGCATCAAACGGAAGGGTTCCTCCAACACCTAGCCCGCGTTCTACGGATGAGCTCCTTCCAACACTAACTGAAGACAGGCCGGTACGTAACTCCTAATAAATTGTACATTGACGGTTTAACCGTAAGCGGTGTGCCATTTTTGTCCACCTTACATGACTCCTTCAATGCTTTATATTTGTGCCCAATTCAGAAATAGTATATTGAAAGACAAGTGTTACAACGCGACTAGGGAATGCAATACCCGGATCGCGGGATCCCGAAATACCGGGATCCCTCAGCATTTTTGCGGGATTAATCCGGCACATAAATGGAGCGGGATCCCGCGGGATTTGCGGGACTGAGGAATTTGTTGACCAAGGGGACGACTCTGTTTACTTTGTTAAGGAAATGCATAACGGAAAAGTTATTTCTAAAATAATTGTTAAAAATGTACTATGATTTTTGAGGCACTTTAGAAGTTCACCTTTTTTTGTGCTTTACAGGTGAGGGTTTTTTGAGTTCTAACTTAGGCTGAAGGTACCTACTTTTTTGTTGAATATTGTGATAAATATCGATTTATTTTAATACAGATGTTAACCGCACAAAATTGCTTATTATTTATTTAAAATTTTGCGGGATCCTGCAAATACCGGGATCCCGCGGGATTAACATCTAACGATCTTGCAAATACCGGGATTGAGATTTTGCTGTGGGATTGCATTCTCTAAATGCGACCTATTTGTAATACGACTATCTTGTGGCACGAGTGGCGTAGCGACACGTGTTTTTCATACTTACTGTTTTTTCTATTTCGGTGCTTTAAATTAATTAAAAAGTGATTATTAAAAACTACAGGAAACTTTAGAATCAATGTCTTAAGTTGGCAACACTTTTTACGTTGACTTTGTTAATCTGAGACAAGTTTGAGTTGGCAGCGAAGATCACGTTTGTATACACAGGTCTGGAAACTCTGTTGTTTGAGACATGAACTAAAGGACTAAGCTGAATTTATAGTTCCGTACCCGCAACACCGTACCGTAACGTTTGGAATTAAACCATACTTGTTGCGCGCGAACATTTTTATAGTTGGCGTTAACGTTGCGTTAGAACGGTTACGGTACGTAGGAAATGCCCAAATCTTATTTCTTACGGTCAATCGTGCTAACGCGCGTGTCTTCGGTAGTACTCGGATAATTCAAACAGTTGAGTTTATCCTGACGTTCGTTTCGTTTATTTACAATAATTATTGACACTTTGTTGGTTATTATTATTTTGAAATGCACGTTACTCTTGCTGACAGATGACATACAATGACAGAATTCGTTACGCGCTAATGTGCAAGCTGCCGCTTGCCACTACGGAACTATAAATCGTATTATTTTCGTTAACGTAAGATTTTACGGTTCCGTTCTTACGTTCATACGTCCGGTTGGCGCAGATTGTATAATCGTTGGCGTACATCGCGACCACCCAGGTTCAAATTTAAGCGCGTATGTTTTTTTTCTATAAGGGTTTTCGCTATAAAAAGCGTTGCACGACATTGATTTGATGACGTTAACAATACACGGCATTGCCAAATATTTCTAAGGTATGCTGATATATTAACCTTTTATTTAGGAAACACTTTTAGGTTATGTTTCTACCATGATGAACTAGAAAATTCAGAGATAATTTTTTGGGCTCTATGTGTGAAACCAACCTACTGGGCATAAATAAAACCCCTTCCTACTGTGCTGCGACGGGTTCAAGGAAAGTGCAGTCTAAGTCTGTAGTACTATTAGCATTTTGTTTATAACGTATCGCTGCCGTTGTGAGCAGAAAGATGAGGAATATGGGCATTGCGGTATTATGTAAATGTTTCGGAAGTTATAAACCATTGCATAGGCGATCAGCAAATAAATATCAAGTTCATGCTGGCTTGAAATCTTGATTGATTTTACGTTATTTTACAAGAGCATATGGCTAACTCTTGCTGTAGTGGAATTTGAAACTAGTAAGTTCAACCGAGACAAAAACACAAGAAATTTTATTGAACTACATAAAATGATAATCAACATAAGCTCAATCGGTTTCAAAAAATTCGGTTCTCTTATTGTGTAACCAATCTTGAATATATGCTTTTCTCCACATGTTGTTTGGATTTTGTGTCAATAAGGTGTTGTGGTAAGAAGCATTGTCCAATACGATAACACTTGGTTCTTCTAAATTTACTAATAATTGTTTTTCAAACCAATGTAAAAAGTTTTCACGATTCATTTCTCCGTGGTAATCGCCAGTACTTTTAGATGCAAATACAAGATCTGCGATATCAAAGCTTCGTTTTGTTTAAAAGCTTGGGAAATTCTGCTGACCGTAGAAATGTTTAAATGTAATGCTGCCCGCAACGCGCTGAAGGTAATCACAATTAGTAGAAGTAGTCAGAAGTAATTGAAACCATTCTTACCTCTCGAACTGAACCTAATGGTAATAAGGAACCCCCATTATCTCGTTCCTGTTCAAAATATTGAATTAAAGAGGCAAGGAGTTCCTTCGCTTTACTGTTCAAATGTTTCGGCATTGTGGCGAGTACGAATGCAAATAACGGTAGAATGTACAACAAACAGCAATTTTGTTCTGAAAAGAACACATTTTTTTGCACTAAGAGCGAAGATGAATAATAACAACAACCACAAGAATAACCGAAAACTTTCACACGCAAAAACCGAACCAAAGTGTCAAATGTCAACAAATAACAAATAACGTTTGACAACATTGTAAAAAAAATTCCGAATCTGCCAACTTATTCTCCCAAAAAGTAACTAAATAATAATGAATATAAATCCGCCAAATCTTGATTTAAATTGGCATGCCATTTTCTTCTGTTGATGACGTGCAACGCTATTTATATCGAAAACCGTATATACGTGCATTAAGTGTACTTATGCGATTTTTTGCATTAATTATTTGAATTAAGAGAAAGGATAATAGTTATGTTATGTCAGATGTCACAATGAAAAGATACTACCTACGGGAACGGGAAACTTAATTTAGTACGGTAGACAAGATAGGTACATTCAATTGTTGTTGTCCGTTCACCGCTCTCAGATCTTTATTTCTTACTCTGAGGTAGTCCTTGTGTTTACAATTACAAATTATTACAAGTCAGACATGACAGTTGTCAAAGAACATCTCTCGACTCATGCGCCGCCCGTGACGACTTTATGGTACTAAGCGATCGACGACGCGTAAGAAGAGCCTCACTTCTCATATAGGAAATAGGCTCGAGTTTCCACACCTGTATATACGACCGTGGCGTAGATCACTCACTCACATTTGGAAACTTTCAATTCCGAGGATGTGCATAAATTTATTTATGATGGTGAATGTGTAAATGTAAATGTAACCATAACCAAGGCGGCGGTGGATGGTAAGCAGCGATTCATACGAAAAAGGCGTTCCAAGTTAATCGATGATCGCGTACGTATAGTCCAGTAAAAGTAGACATTGACCCAGAAATTTGAAAAAACAAGCTGAAAATTTTCATACATGGTGAGCATGGTGCTAGAACTAAATCCTGAAAAGTCCCAAAAGATCCCGGTTGGAGAACGGACGCCATCTTGAAAAAACTACCCCTAAATTTGATTTTCCGATTTTTGAGGATAACAAGTGAACGGATGGTCCAAATTTCGTCGTCAAGGTGTCAAAATGGCTGTTTTGATGTTTGTTATGAGTGAAATAATTATTCCGTATAATACGATGCCCTTTCAAATGTGACCTTTTTCAAAAAACCACCCCCATCATGGGTTTCTCTCTTTTCCGGCTATTGTTAAATAAAGCTTCGGATAATTAGGTAGTATTGATGTTTCTAATCGTTCTTCTTGACGTTCTCTATCTGAATGTCAAAATTTCTGTTAAAAAAAACCTTCAGAGTTCAGAACAAGATTGAGAGTACTAACTAAATGAACACTATTTTATTCATTATTATTTGCAGTCGGGTTAAGTTGCACGTAAAAAATATTTAAATGCATTTTACAATTAATCAACTATTCGCACATAACTAAAAAAACGGCGTGAAAATAATCAATCCATACACAGGTTTTAAACTGGAAACATTCCGAGACCGAACGACAACACAATGACGAAAATCTATACTATGAGTAAAAATCAGACACCGATCTACTCTTACAAAAGTAACCGTTACACCTGAACGCACGGTATCGAAACGTGATATAAATTTGGGTGTTTCGTTACTAAGAAACCGTAGCTTCCAGATTTATTTATTTATTTTAGGAATAAACAGAAGGTGATTTAATTTCTAGCGCCCTTTTAGCTGCCGATGAGGAAACCAGTTTCCGTATTACATAAACACTTTCTAAGATAACCGCTCCTTTTGCTGTTTAGGTAGTAAGGTTACACAAGATAATCGTTGCAAGGAAGATATAAAATCCAAGATAGCGCAGGCTAAAAAAGCATTGGCATAAAAGTGGGACCTGCTACGATCCGAGATAAATTAGGAAATGAGGAAAAGATTGATAAAAACGTACAAATGGAGTGTAGGTCATACAGGTGCGAAACCTGGACGATAGGCAGGAAAAAGTAGGATAGAATGAGGATTATCTGGATGGATTGGGTAACAAACGAAGCAGTCTTGGAGCTAGTACAGGAAATAGAGAAATATGGAAAACCGTACCGAGAAGACGAGATAGAATGTTAGCGTACGTGCTAAGACACGGAGGAATAGCACTACTAGCTATACCGGGTGATCAAAAAGTAGTGCGGACAGTTTGAATTTTCCGTAAAACTAAACATGTATAACGTTGGTAACATACCAAGTCATTTATGTAAAAGCAGTGGTGGATCAATTTAATCACTAATGCATAAATAAACTACCTTCTAAACATGTTTGCCAATTCCTTAAGTAAAAAACATTGAAAACTTAAAGCGTCCAATTTGAACTGTCTGCAGTTCTTTTTGATCACCCGATAGAAAGTAGTTATGTAGAACTGAAAAGATTAGCGCAGGATAGGAAAAGGTGGAGGACTGCGTCCAACCAATCCTAGGATTGCGCAAGCAAAACAACAACAAATGCCGAAAACGTGAAAAATCCAGGTTGGGGGTGATCTTTCTAAAAAGTACGAATTTTCAAGGGCTTCTTTATGTGCGGAATTATGTTTTTACTCCAAATACACATTAAAACAAACATTTTGACACCTTAGCAACGAGAATCAGACCATTGGTTCATTGGTTTTGCTCAAAACTCGAGAAATCGAGTTTAGGGGTAGTTTTTTTAAGATGGCGCCCGTTCCCCAACCGGGATCTTTTGGGACTTTTCATAAATTGGTTCTGGCATCCTATCCTATCCTGAACATGTTTGCCAATTTTCAGTTTGTTTTTTCAAATTTCCGGGTTTGGCCCTTATTTATTGTCTAATTTTACGTAGAAAATGCGAAAGATATTCCTTCCCCTCTCGACCATTATAACAGGGTGGATGCTAAGCAGCAATTTATATAGAAAAGGCATTCAAAGTTAATCGGCAATCGATACGAATTACGAATTAGTATATGCAGGAAGTGCCCGGGTTTTCCCTCTCGGTGATTGATACAGACAAGTCGATCTTTACCAGATACAATAATGTAACCTTCTCAACGACATTCTTCTTCCCAAATACATTCAAGGGGTACGCTTCAAAAAGTGGTTGTTTGAAGTCGTCCTAGTGGCAGAAAAGCACAAGTCGCCAAGTTGCGAATACAGCTGTGAATCGGAACCTTGAGCTATTACTTGTAACAAAAGGTCGTCTCGGGAACCGTATTTACGAAGGGCCATTTCTGCAAATATCAATCCGACAGCTTCTTAGTCTATAAGCATTTATTATTAAAACATGAAAAACAAACTTAATCAAATAAATACTTCATTTGCTTGCCTAGGTTACAATTAACTAAAAATGTGGCGTGCGTGTGTACCATTGAATGCATTTTTGCTTAACGCGCAAATTGTTTCTTGAATATTAGTTACATCTATTACAAGAAAACTGTGGATTTAGAATGATGGTAACTCACACTAAACTTATTTAGCACTGGGTACCAAAAATCAATGAATACACATAGCCCTAGTCTAGTTGCACCAACAAAATTAAGCCTTGCTAAGTCGAACCACGATACATGAGTCGAACTTAAAATCTATATGGCAACGATTGTTAAGACAATCGTTGCTATTGTATTTAAGTTATGCTTAACCAAAGACTAATGGCCGTTTGCACCGACAAATTTAAGTGGAGCTTAGCCGTAGCCTACCGATAGAACTAGCCGTGAGCGTGACCCTCATCTCCACTATTGCGTTGACGTCACAACTGACGGCGGCCGTCATATCGACTTAATGTAATTAATTCCAAGTAGTTTAATGTTGTACACTTAAATTAACTGTATTCGAACAGAAAAGTAAGAAAATGCCAAATACGTGCTGCGTCCCTGGTTGCAAAAGCAATTATAGTTCAAGAGACAAGGTTCCTTACGGTTTTTCGTTTTCCGAAAAATGAAGACGATCACAAAAAGTGGTTAAGATGTATTCACCGGGACAATTTTGAAATTACTAGTTACTCCAGGGTTTGTATAAAGCATTTCTGCGACATTTTCATTATTCGGGTAGACAAGATGACTAGATAAGACGATACAGTATTAACAGTTCCATGAGACCAGATTAAACTTGCCGAAGACACGTATCCCACCATTTTTGAAAATCAGCCATCATATATGAAAAGGATGTAAATGATGAGTAACGGGAAAATATAGACCTTTGCAAACTACAAATGACCGAAAACCTGTAGTCACTAGGTGGTCCAGGGGCCGAGATCTCGATGGAACAGACAGATAGGCAGACGACGGAATAATGAGCACATAAGCGTTACCTCAACTTCGTTGTGTTACGCTAAAAAAGGCAGATGTGTGTATTAGAATGTATAAATTTTATTTGTTTTCAGCTCGGTTTTCAGTGAGTATCTGTTGTTTATGTACGTATTTAATAAAATTTTTGCATAATAACACGTGTCTATAATTAGGAAACAACATATAACAATCCTGCGGCTCAAAATAAGTAATTACTTAATGTTTTCGCGTTAAATGAGTACCTACGCACGCGAATCAAATTGCATTTAAACACATAGTATCGCGTTGCAGTGGCCCATCTCCAGTTGTGACGTCACTAAATCAATGTCACGGCTAGATCTATCGGTAGGCTACGGCTTAGCTTAAGCCATAAAATACTATGGCTTAAGCCATAATATCTTAAGCGTAGCTTAAAATCCATGGCAACGATTATTGAGACAACGGTTGCCCTGGATTTTAAGCTACGCTCAAGCTAAGTTACACTTAAATTTGTCGGTGCAAACAACCATAAGGGTAACCTTTGGATTAACTTTAAAGAAGACTTCATTAATTTTGACGCAATTGGCCCATAAATTTTACGCAATTTGATTTGACATCTGATAATTTGAGGTTGACGAAGATTAAAAGTTACCAAAAATAATATTAGTACCATAAAGTCGTCACGGGCGGCGCATGAGTCGAGAGATGTTCTTTGACAACTGTCATGGCTGACTTTTAATAATTTGTAATTGTAAACACAAGAACTACCTCAGAGTAAGAAATAAAGATCTTAGAGCGGTGAGCGGTTGAATGTACCTATCTTGTTTACCGTACTAAATTAAGTTTCCCGTTCCCGTAGGTAGCATCTTTTCATTGTGACATAACACAACTATTATCCTTTCTTTTAATTCAAATAATTAATGCAAAAAATCGCATAAGTACACTTAATGCACGTATTACCATGAAAGTCTTTGTAATACTGTTTTTGCCGAAAACAGTTGTACAAAAATCTCATTGTAGCACCGAAATAGAAACAAATCATTTATCTCTGTCTATTTCACGATCGTGCTTTAATCGTTATATGATATAATACACCCCTTGCAGGTTTATATTGTACAGGTACCTCTGGCAATCCAAGAAGAAGATAACGGGGCAAATGGTTTTAAAGAGGAGATACCGTCAACTTCGAAACAATTCGCTTAAGTAAAGAAACACTTCATCGCAACGCAGTGCTATTGGTGGGCCTAGAGAACGTACCTAATTATCACTAATAGAGTAAGATTTAAAAAATTGAATGTGGTTAAAAAATAGACAGACGTTAATTTAATAAGGACTATATTACTTTTTTAATTTAGTAGATTTTACTGTTAATGATACCTATACCTCTATACACATGTATCTATGCTGTTATATGTTGAAGTAAAGTATTTATTACAGTGAAATTAAGTCTATGGTCAAATATCAGTTAAATTAAATATTTGTATAATAAGTGTTTAATGCTTACTTTACCGATTATTTAAATTTTGATAAGAGTATGTTATACTTCTGTATTTTGTTGTACGGTAGTGTGTTCCAATTAAAGTCTGCAGTATTACCAACTTTGAAGTCACATAATCTGTTGTATTGGCATGTAAAAGGCATTAGCAAATCTTAAAAACATTTGAGCATTAAGTTCTCAAGATATCCAACAAAATAAATTTGGAAAAGGCCTATAGGCACAGTATATCCCCTCTTTATACTGTGCTATAGGTATATTCTATACATATTGAAAAAAATGAAATTCTGAAATTTAACTCTGAAGTATAGAGCTTTAAACATGCAATCTAGAATTTGACAAAATGAAAAATAATTTTTTTAAACTAACTGAAGTGCAATCAAAAGAATCTAATCTAAACGTTTTGCTCTTAATCATGAAGCTAAAATGTTTTTTTATTATTCAGTTTTTGTATCGATTGGGTTGGGAACAACAATTATTGTTGATTGTAGTTGATTGTAATTTGTTTTGTGTTGACTTTTATTAAGATAGTTTTCATAAGTTATTTCCCTTTGCTTATCGACTAACTTAGAGCAGTAATTATGTGCCATAGATTTTTTATTTGAAAATATTGAATAAATAATAAATATGTAGTGGGTGTTCCATTTGAAACGATGATATTTTGTTGGTATACCTAGACACCCTGATGCGAAATTGTATATAAGTATCAATCAAAAAGTTAGTTGGAACACAAAATACATTTATTTCTCTGAAACTCGTCTAAGTTAATTTTTTAATAGTTTACAAGTTGTTACATGTGATTCAATGTTCCATATTAATTTTAAGATTATTACAAGAATAAAGTTTACATTAATCTGGCCGCATCATGTATTGTAGTTATAGTAGCACTACTCCTACCCTAAAGATCTATAAATCAAAGCGTCAACAAGGAACGTTTTAATCGTTTTAAAAGGGTGTTGACACCGGCATGTTGTTCTGCCAATAGTCCAGTCAATAGAGAAAAGTTTAGTCAAAAATTTGGTGTCCAAGAGGTTATGACTGATTCTTATGTATTTTTTGGCGTAGATTCCGAATTTTTAATCTCCCACCAACCTTAGGGGGTGGGAACCCCCCCAAAAATGCAAAAAACCCCAAAATGTCGGCCCAAAATTCAGAATTTTGGAAAAATTTCGCTAAATTTAGATTTTTGGCCCAAAGTACCTTAGTTCAAAATTAAAGTACACAAAATTTGCAGGAAAAGTGATATATACACTTTTGGTCTAGGACCAACGGGGGCGGAGATAAGAGGGGGGTCAAAAAGGGTACTTTGTTGGAAAACGTGAAAAAAACGGAATTTCTCTGAATAACTCGCTAAATGTTGGTTTTAGAGAAAAAACTCAAAGGACCAAAATGAAAGTAGACGAAAAATTACTTCGGAAAGTGCACGTGTGCGGAGCCGATGAAGGGGAGGAGGAGGGGGAGGGGGCGAGCGCAAAACCTCTCTTCCTGGCGCCGCGCGACGGCACTGGCATAAGGCGCTATACGCGCAGTTTCGGGTATCTCTGGCGGCCTCGGTCCCGGTCATAACGGATGCTTCTTTGTCCTTATTTTAGAAAGGGGCCTCTGGCTTCCCCCTCCCTCTTGTTGGTCGTTTGTATGCTTTTTGTGTCCTCTGGAAACCAGTTCAAGATCCCTCTTCAGTGCGTCTGTGTTGTCGCGTCGTGTGCATCACGCTATATTGCTCCGTGCTTATTTATTTTATTATTTACTATTTTTCGGTTAAAAGTTTGTTGTTTTTACCGAAATTTTCTGTAATATCGTGCTCGCGCGCCTGTGCGTTTTGAGTTTGTTCGCTTGCATATACTCTCGAGGGGAGAGAGTGAAACTAGTTTTAACCTTCATGGTACTCTAATGAAAGGTCTCAACGCAAGGAATTAATTTCTACCAACCATAGCCCTCCTCCTCGACCTCTTATCGTGATCGGGTATATTACCTTATACCTTAAGAACGGATTGTCGGAAGAGGGTACTATCAAAGGGCGATTGAAACGTCTGCAAGAAATATATCCATTGGTGATGTCCATACAAAAGCTATTTCGGTTAAAAAAATGCGCTTTATCTGCACAGGAGTTGTGCACAATTTATACTTGTTTATTTAGTGCTCGAGTTACAATTTTTGGGGGAGATTGTAGTATTTGTCTGAAATTCTGATTTGCATGGCGGACAGCAAGAAACGTTACTTTCGCACTTTTTTAGGCCATCTTTAAATAAAAACTCAACCTCTACTGGCTCAGGCGAAAAATAGTAAATAAGCACGGAGCAATATAGCGTGATGCGCACGACGCGACAACACAGACGCACTGAAGAGGGATCTTGAACTGGTTTCCAGAGGACACAAAAAGCATACAAACGACCAACAAGAGGGAGGGGGAAGCCAGAGGCCCCTTTCTAAAATAAGGACAAAGAAGCATCCGTTATGACCGGGACCGAGGCCGCCAGAGATACCCGAAACTGCGCGTATAGCGCCTTATGCCAGTGCCGTCGCGCGGCGCCAGGAAGAGAGGTTTTGCGCTCGCCCCCTCCCCCTCCTCCCCCCCTTCATCGGCTCCGCACACGGGCACTTTCCGAAGTAATTTTTCGTCTACTTTCATTTTGGTCCTTTGAGTTTTTTCTCTAAAACCAACATTTAGCGAGTTATTCAGAGAAATTCCGTTTTTTTCACGTTTTCCAACAAAGTACCCTTTTTTGACCCCCCTCTTATCTCCGCCCCCGTTGGTCCTAGACCAAAAGTGTATATATCACTTTTCCTGCAAATTTTGTGTACTTTAATTTTGAACTAAGGTACTTTGGGCCAAAAATCTAAATTTAGCGAGATTTTTCCAAAATTCTGAATTTTGGGCCGAAATTTTGGGGTTTTTTGCATTTTGGGGGGGTTCCCACCCCCTAAGGTTGGTGGGAGATTAAAAATTCGGAATCTACGCCAAAAAATACATAAGAATCAGTCATAACCTCTTGGACACCAAATTTTTGACTAAACTCCCGTATTTAGGTCTCTATTGACTGGACTACAATTGATATCTAGAATTGAAACAGCTCACATAACAACATATAAAAAATTGAAGCGTAACTAAATGATAAAAACTTCGGGGTTTACACGACACGTTAGGGGTACCCCTGGGGGTACCTAATCTGCAACCCCTGAATACCGCCTAATCGATCTGCAAATATTGTACCGAACATTGTGGATTACCAATTGAATAATAAAAAATTGCAGCCTTAATTGAATACTAATTTTGATTCTGCCTTCGCACTCATATACATACCCCCCTCAACATTCTAACAAAAAACAGGCCTTCTAAATAATCACTAAAATATGTCACTGACTCTCCTACTATAAGGTAGAACGCACGGTATTCTAATTGCCATCTTCCGAATACATCGATCTCATGGCGATTGAATTCATATGTAATTTGAGAATTCGGAATTCCGAAGTGATTAGATTGGATGGGATTCGCCTGTGTTCCCAGTGGGGATTATGCGTGTTTTAGTCTTTTGACGTTTCCATTGTAATTTGTTGTAATGGAATTTCCATCGACAATAATGGGCTATTTACCTACACGGACACATATAACACAGGTTTTAATAAACCTTCGATATTAAAGCCTGCGCAAAACAACGTGAAAACGCAACTTACGCCGGTTTTATTAACGCATGTTTTAGTAAAACCGCCTTTGGAAAAGGATGTAACGTTACTAAAGCCTGTACTAGAAAATGCAGGCCTGACGAGAAGGGGGGGTAAACGGGGGGATTCTCCCTGGGCCCGGATTTTGAAAAGGGGCCCATTGCATGGTTTTTTGGGAATAAAATTTTTACATCCATAAAGCATAGGTACCAATTTCACTAAAATAAAATATTTCATATTATGAGTCCTTATGATTAGTAGAATAAAGTAATGTGGAATAGGTAAGTTTAAGCACAAAAAAGGGGCCCGTGCTTAACAACCCCCCGGGCCCCAAGTTTCTCTCTACGGCCCTGAGAAAATGTGTACTTAAACACTTTTTAGAGCAGAGCATTTTTTAAGAATTAAAAAAATGTGCTATTGTGCTTGAAGGTGTGCCAGACGGCCATCAAATTACGCTGTCTAAAAGGGGGGCCCACATGAATTATTTCCTGAGATGCTGTTTTTGAAAGTAAAACGTGCATAACTTTTACATACGACAACCGATTGGTGTCAGATTTTGCCTACGCATGCATTTAGTGGTGCCAACGTAAACTTAAAATGGAGGGGGGGGGGGGCACATGTTTCGAAATAAATTGGTTTGTGCAAACTATAATGTTCCCCTGAGACTCTTTTTCGTTATCTCTCATTGTATTCTAATTAAAGGTCGCAATGAAAGGAACCGTTTTCGACCAACTACTGCCCTTCTTTCTGTCCTCTTATCAAAGTACGGGGAAGAGGGGGAGGGGGGAGTGGAACTACTTTTATTCTTCATGGTACTCTAATGAAAGGTCTCAACGAAAGGAATTAATTTCTATCAACCATACCCCCCTTCTCTGCCTCTTATCGTAATCGGGTATATTCCCTCAAGAACGGATTGTCGGAAGAGGGTACTCACAAAGGGCGATTGAGACGGTTACAAGAGGATACTTTGTCATTTTCGCGTACCCGTCAAGCGAATCAGTCACTGCATGAGGGACAAAACCTCCTGCTACTGCACCCGATCTACAGCCACCCCCTCCACAATCCTCCACAAGTACGTGACAATGCGTTATTAACGGAGCGATTCCAGTTTCAAGCCTTGGAAGATCGAGGAACCATCATGGGACTATGGTATTGCTATACAAGTTACTGCATAATGAAGTTGACTGCATGGGATTGCTTTCTTCATTACATTTTCTGGTTCCGAAGTACCACACTCGTCACATAGACACATTCTATACCTATCTAGCAGATATGTCACAGTTTCAACGGATTCACGATAACAGAATTACGTTGCACAGTCACAGTATAAAGAGGATACCTATAGTGTGGTACAGTGTTCCAAGATTCTCAAAGACGCCTGAGAAGATCAACTAAACTGTTTACAAGTGTTTACAGGTGGTTGTAAAGCATTTAGCCCATCATAATCCACATGTGTTAGATCCAGCGAAGAAGATAAGGCCATGGAAGCATTATTATTATTAGTATTATCTACTTTAATTTGTATAATGTTCAAATTTTCATCGTTTTTTATTTCCAAATAAATACAACTGTCCTGAAAATTGTATCTAAATTGATCAAGGTGTTCAGATAATTATGGAGGGTAGTATACCGATATAACCACACTGAGAGAAATAATATAATCAAAGTGTCTACCTGAAAATATTTTAATTACAATAAATGTCTTTTTATTTGCGTCAATTAGTTATCAATTTATGACAATAATCTCATATACTGTGTTAAGTAAAATCGATTTTCTAGAAGTGGTGGATAAGGGCAATTAGACATATTTGCTAAACGCTTGTAGATTTTCATAGGTACAATAACAGCAGATAGCGTTTTCGCTGCAGTTATAAAACTGATGCATTGAATTTGATATTCTTGCTTAATTACGTTTTTGTAACTGCCACAAACGTTTAGTTTAGTTGGCGTTATGAAATACTAATTTATGGCGAGTAAACATCTACTTGTAGCAATCGTCTTCAGAAGCCGTTTTCGTTCGTTTTTTGACGACCATAAAAGCTGTAGGTATACCAATTTCTTAATATACGCATGCAGGTATACATTGTGCTGTGCGGGTGTAAGTTTTATTCGGTTTTATTATATGTACCTAGTGTACCAAGAGCTGAAATTTACGCCATACCTACCCCAAAATGAGCGAATTTAAGTCATTACTTATTAAATGGGGACTTGATGTATATTTCGACTATTTCTTAGGTAAGTAGAAAGAGTTATATTTTTGCTACTATTGCTGTCTACCGAAATTATTGTTTAAGTTTTTAAGCTACTGAGACCCAGTTGCACCAAAATTAAGCCTTGCTTAAAGTTAAGTCGAACTTAAAATCTATGGCAACGATTACGTTGCTATGGTATTTTATTTAAGTTATGCTTAACTTTAAGGGATACTTAATTTTGACGGTGCAATTGGCCCTCACTGATGAAAATTGTTCAAATTTTATGTCGTGATGTGTTCAAGGTGTAACGTACAGACACGACCGAGTATATTATGCTTTCAGATATTGTTTATGTCAATCAGTGCATCATTGTAAATAATGAATATTACATCACAATTTATTAATTGTATCCTAAGTGGCATTTTCATTTGATTTTCATTTTTTATTGTTAGATAGGTATAGGATTGTTGTTTTTAAGTGTAATATGTACGTTTTTCATTTTTTTCTAATAAATACCATTGTGAATTACGTTATTACTAATTCCAATTGCCCTTAAGGAATAGGTTTTTAACACAATTAAACAAGTTGTACTGTAGTAAGTCAATTAAAAACCATTCTAATTTAACTACGTTTCTACAACACCTCGCTTTGCTACCTACAGTTATTTTGCGGTTAAATCTTCCTAAATATATTATATACTTACAACAATTTAGTGTACTATTTAAGGTTATTTAACGTACACTTATTTTAATTAAACTGTTTATTATTCATAATAAATGCCTCTAATTGTCTCTAAAGAAAGTTTATGTCTGTTGCCAGGTTTTCAAATACCTACGGTAATTGATGTAATTACAAATAAAATTAAAATTTGACTGTAATCAAACAGGTACAGAAAACTCTGTTTAATTATCGTGAATAACAAGTTGTATAGTCACATATAGTATTAAATTTTTTTTATTACTGCTAACAGATTTTTCTCTCAGTGCAATACTAGCAATTTTATTGTAGTTACAAGCCAGTGCCGGATTGGGGGGGGGGGGCTATGGGACTATTAGCCCCCGGCGGTAAATTTTGAGAGGCGGTATGTCATCGCTCTCATCACGTTTTAATTCTATAAATGTAGATCTTTAATTTATGGGGCTCAATTTCTGAAATACCTAGCATGTCAATAAAACCTCGTCTCATATTCACCTATAAGAATCGATGCCGGGCTCGGGTTACCGGCGCGGAGGTAGCAGGTCGCTGGGTCACACAGCAAAAAGACTAACAAAAATACGTTTCATGTTTTCGGGAAATCTGCACTTTGCTGACAAACGACAGGGTGGCGCTTTATTACCTCATCGTCCGTTATTTACCTCTATTATCCATTGACTATATTGTCGAGAACATTTACTTGTTCAACCCTTATCAGAAACAATTATTGAGCGGCAGAGCAAAGCGATGTAAGCTTTATAGGGGGTCGATGGTGTCCGTCTGTCCGTCCGTGAACACGATAACTGCCAAACGAATGGACCGATTCGGTTGCACAGTTGACCTACATTACACATATACCGAGTGATTCATTAGAAGTGATGAACGCTTGAATTTCGCGCGTAAGGTTTTAGTATTTTTTGCATTATTAGATTGACGGTTTGAATTTGGTTAGTAATTTTTATCTGTCATGACTGTCATTTAAGAAACCAGTGTCGCCGTTAATTGTTGTGTGCCATTTGTGGTTTATTACTTTTTCCATTTTGAACAATTTTTAGAGTTGATGCACTAAATTATGTAAGAAACGTGACTGTGTCTAGTGTTAGTTTATGATTTGTGGTAAAACAGAAGCAGTATTTGTAGATTATAAATAAGAAAACGATTTACTGATTTACATGATGATACACCACTGCAATTAAATAAATGATCATCAGTTAGTACCAACTTCATAATTTTTTTGATTTGCGGGAAATTCAAATTGTCCTCACTTCTAATGAATCACCCGGTATAATAAGCCTATTGAAAATGGGTCAAATCCAATGACCCCTTGGGGTCACGATTCTCAGTCTCTGCCAAACGCTTGATCCTATTTAGTTCAAACTTTGCACAGTTGACCTACATGCGCCTTTCACATCCTTTGAGTTTTCCAGTGGCAAATTGAGAAATGGTACGGCGTCTGGTTTCAACAGTCGACGATTTCGGGCGGTATACCCCAGTAATTCAAACCGCAAATTCCGTTCATAACACCACTCTTCAAAATGTTTCGAACACTCTGGCAGTTTTCACATTAATGTGACCTGGCCGGTTACAAGCTAACACCCAACGCTTTTGAATATTTTGATCATTCGGGAACCGGAAAAACATTAGGTTGCTTGAAAACTGTTTTGATCCATTATCTGTGGTACATCTAACTACGGAACACCTCATTTTGTTGAAAACTAATTCACAAATTCCAAAAAAGCACCAAAATCTACACTGATGCCAGTTTGCACCGACAAATTTAAGTGGAGCTTAAAATCCATGACGACCATTGTCTCAATAATGGTTGTAATGCGCTTTTTTTGTTGTAGCTATAGGAAGCTGTTCTGTCAAGAATTTGGCACCTGGTCTGGTTTTTAATATTTTCCTGGCTCTTTGCTTCCTGATAGTTTATTTTGAAAACTGCTGTAATTCTTATTTGTGTATAGATTAGCGTTCATTCAATATTGCATACTTTTTCCATGTAACACAATTAAAGCAAACAAGTAAAAAGGTTTCAAAGAAATATCTCCATAAACAAAAAAAAGTTGGCGTTGCGCAGTTCGCGCATGAGCACATAATTAATAATTTATGCTATAGGTATGCGATGTTTGTGTTTACTAGAAGCATGCGCATGCGTAGATTTGATGTTGACTATGTGCGATATGTTTGCTTTTCCTAATCACATTTGTAGTTTTCGATTTTTACTACATGCGATATGTTTTTCTTTACTAGAAGCATCTATGGTTAAAATTTTATAGAAATATCTCCACAAATAAGAAAGTTGCCATGCGCATGCACACAACACAACTGAATATGCGATATATTTGCCTTCACCAGAAGTATCTGTGGTTCAAATTTCAACAAGTTATTTATGCATCAAGGGCATTAAGGCGATATTTATGCCGAGGGCGACAGAGCCCGAGGGCCTCCGACCCAGATTGTAAATCGCCTGAGGGTTAAACATCGAGTAATGCCTGAGTTGCATACAAAATTTTATTTTTCATCGTTCCAAATAATGCATTTCCAATATACAAAATGTAATGATTATTGTCTGCCCAACATTAAAATGCTTCATATGAATCAAGTAGCATCTTTTTGTATTCCAAATATAACTCCATCAATATATTTGACAGGTCGTTTGAGGGCATGAGATGACAATCCATTATGCCCTTGGGCGTAATAGACTGCTTTATATATCTCACATGACAGATATAATTGGCATATAATATGCAAATGAAAAATAAAAGATATTAATAAATAACAAAGTTAACATTGCACAGTTTGTCAAGATTTTCCTTGCCTCAGGTGCTAGCTATACGCTACCGAATGCAAAAAGAACTTAATATCTTGAAAACTGGCCTCGCCAGACGGACGTACAGAGAAAGTGGCTTGGAAAATGCGCTAAAAAAGATTTATGGTGGCAAGTAGAGAACTTATTTCTCACCTTCTCTCAATCTGGGATAATTCCACATTATATTGAAAGTGATTCTGAAATGTTTCAGATTGGAATGGCATCACATCTCAACTTCCTTACAACACTGCAAGTATGAAACAAATTCAAATTTTCCTTTTTGGCAATGTGAACTTCACCAAATAAACTAAAAGTATAAAGCACTTTCATTTGAAAAACTTGAATTTCAAAAACAAATTAACTTCTAAAAGCAATTTCCTTGAAACACAATGGATGCAATGAGTTAAAAAAATACAATAATTTCTGACTGATTTATTAAAGTTTGCATTGTCATTAACTGAACGCTACAAATATCCTACAACAACAATAATAATACTGAATAAAAACTATTAGGAATGCAAATAAGTGTTTAATCGACTTCTTCAATTGTTGGGCCAGCACCACCTGCTCCAGGAGCTCCACCACCGGGAGCAGCTCCACCCGCACCTGGGAAACCGCCAGGCATACCTCCGGGCATACCTCCTGGTCCGCCAGCGCCTTGGTACAATTTTGTAATAATCGGATTGCAAATGCCTTCCAATTCCTTCTGTTTGTGTTCGTACTCTTCTTTTTCGGCCAACTGGTTGGCATCCAACCAAGCAATGACCTCGTTGCATTTTTCCATAACAGTGGTTTTATCGCTTTCAGTGATCTTATCCTTAAGTTTTTCATCTTCAATTGTGCTCTTAATATTGAAGCAATAAGATTCAAGTGCGTTCTTTGCAGAGATGGTGTTTCTTTGTTTTTCATCTTCAGATCTGTACTTCTCCGCATCGTTAACCATACGTTCAATATCTTCTTTGCTAAGACGGCCTTTGTCGTTGGTAATGGTAATTTTGTTTTCTTTGTTGGTGGACTTTTCGACGGCAGTTACATTCAAAATACCGTTCGCATCAATGTCGAAGGTAACTTCGATTTGGGGAACACCACGGGGCGCAGGTGGAATGCCAGTAAGTTCAAATTTACCAAGAAGGTTGTTATCCTTGGTCATGGCACGTTCTCCTTCATAAACTTGAATCAAGACTCCAGGCTGATTATCGGAATAAGTGGTAAATGTTTGGGTTTGTTTTGTAGGAATTGTGGTGTTACGTTTGATTAAAGCTGTCATCACACCTCCTGCGGTTTCAATACCGAGTGAAAGTGGGGTGACATCCAAAAGCAGCAGGTCTTGAACTTCTTCAGATTTATCACCGTGAAGAATTGCAGCTTGAACTGCGGCACCGTAGGCAACAGCTTCATCGGGATTAATAGATTTGTTTAATTCCTTGCCGTTGAAGAAATCTTGAAGAAGTTTTTGTACCTTAGGAATACGAGTGGAGCCTCCTACCAGGACAATGTCGTGAATTTGCGCTTTGTCCATTTTGGCATCGCGCAAAGATTTTTCCACAGGATCCATGGTGGAACGGAACAGATCTGCGTTCAACTCTTCAAAACGAGCTCTGGTGATCGATGTGTAGAAGTCGATACCTTCAAACAAAGAGTCAATTTCGATGCTCGCTTGAGTGGAGGACGACAGGGTTCGCTTTGCTCTTTCGCAAGATGTTCTGAGACGACGTACAGCACGTTTGTTGGAGGTCAAATCTTTTTTGTACTTCCGCTTGAATTCCTGTACAAAATGATTCACCATACGATTGTCGAAATCTTCTCCTCCCAAGTGAGTGTCACCGGCAGTAGACTTGACTTCAAAAATACCATCTTCTATTGTAAGAATCGACACATCGAAGGTACCACCGCCCAAATCAAAGATGAGGACGTTCCTTTCGCCCGCTCCTTTTTTGTCTAAACCGTAAGCAATGGCGGCTGCGGTAGGTTCGTTGATAATACGCAGTACATGCAATCCTGAAATGGTGCCAGCATCTTTGGTTGCTTGACGTTGCGAATCGTTGAAGTAGGCAGGTACAGTGATTACAGCATTTGTAATATTTTTTCCTAAATACGCTTCAGCAGTTTCCTTCATTTTTGTTAATACCATTGAACTAACTTCTTCTGGGTAAAATGATTTCGTTTCTCCTTTGTATACTATTTGAATTTTGGGTTTACCACCATCGCTGATGACTTCGAATGGCCAATGTTTCATATCGGCTTGAACTGTGGTGTCCTCAAAGCGACGCCCAATAAGACGTTTTGCATCTGCATACAAAAAGGATAATTATACACTAATTTTTTAGCAATCAAGGCGACATTCATATTTGTCAGCTCAGACATAAAAATGAATCACTGTACATCAGAAACTCCAGTTTAGCAATTATTGTTAACTTCATCATAATAAACTAATAAAAAATTCCAGCAAAAAATGCAAATCCGCCTGATCAATTCATTAAGACCACAATGTTTGACCTATTTCTGAAATTATGGGCATTCATCATGGTCAGTGCCACATGACCAGCTATAAAAACTCGATATAGCAAGCATGCTCTCTCTGTAACCTTGAATTAAACTACATCCTTGACACATTATTCAAATATTGATTAAAAATGATGATTCATTAATCATTACAGAGAGAATTACTGATTAATGATTATGATACACGGACCATAAGATTGCCCACAATGAAAAATGCATTTCGCAGGAGTCACAATGAAAACTAATTCGCATCTAAGTACATACCAAATATAGTATTATTGGGGTTCATCGCAACTTGATTTTTGGCAGCATCTCCGATGAGACGTTCTGTGTCTGTAAAGGCCACATAGGATGGGGTGGTCCTGTTCCCTTGATCATTAGCAATGATCTCCACTTTTCCATGTTGAAATACTCCTACACAAGAGTAGGTAGTACCAAGATCAATACCGACTGCGGGTGCTTTTGCCATTATCTGTAAATTAAAATACGAATTAACTCAACTATACTACCTACGTTATTATACAAAGAAAACATCATTTCCTTTGCAAAACGTGGTTTTAAGATAATGGCGGCGATTAAAAACCTCTGCGGTAAAGTACGAAAAATCCACAAATATGTATAGCAAATTTCAAATTAAACAAAAAAATGACGTTAGCATACTACAAACTACGTAAAATAACCAAAAAAACTTACCTTGTATTAAATTAAATAAATATTCGAAGAAAAACTTCTCAAGCGTACTTACGCTACTACGGTTTAGTATCAAATCGGACGAGATCGATGTATAAATTGCTTATATACTGCGCTACTCGTATCTTCTAGAACATTCCATACGATAACCAATAGAAGGCGTAGAATTAACTTGACGCGAACGTCATTGGTTCATCGAACCAAAGCCAGTAAAATATTGTAATGATTTTATTTAATTTTCCATGATTTTGATACCAAATCTTCATTGTAGATGTCATAAAAAGATTACAATTATTTAATTTGCGTTTACAAATAAGAATGTAGTTTAAGATGTTTGTATTAACAAACGCGGGAGATTGGGACCCAATGGCGGTAGATTCAAACAGAATGTTGCAAGAAAAGGTTTTATAATGATCGTAGTATGAGTGTATGACATTTTCGTATTATTAAACTTACTTCAAAACTTGGAAATTTACTAATCGAAGATAATGTCTACAAGAAGAAAAATACGACTGTTTTCTGGACTTCTTCCCATTTCTAGAAGTTTCTGGTAGAAATTATACCTACTGTACGTCTGAGTACGGATCTGTGACCGCTATTTTATTTATAAGATGCCGAGTGGAAGTAGAATGTAAAGCAAACTATACACGACATTGGCCCGTATGAATAAAAATAAGCAAATGCTTATACTTGCAAAATTCAAAGTAAATACTCGTAACTGCCCCTTTATACTGGTTTTTTTAGCAGCGCTGCACTCGCACTGCGTCCTGTCCTGCTGCTTAGCAGGGCTGCTAAGTCGCCCAGTGCGAAGGAGTACTTCCGAATATTTACTTTGAATTTTGCAAGTATAGCAGTTGCTTACTTTTATTCATACGGGCCAATATAATGTCCTTCAAATAGGGTTTTGGAACTTAAGTTCTTTTAAAGATTGGTAGGCTGTGGCTATAATGCCTATGACAGCCATGAGCCACTTGAGTTGGATCATACCTACGTTATCGAACTTATCTCTTGGAATTTTCTTTCTACAAAAAAAACTCCAGATTTAGTACTTATATAGTATATTATGTGTTATATAATGGTAGTATGCTATGACGTTAGACGTATGACATTTCAGACATTTGGGTTGGAGGAGAGATAGAAACGGCGGGAAATCATTGGTTGGCAAAGCAAAATAATCAAATATGTTGTCGACACGGGCGTTCAACTTGTAATAAATATTTGCGATATAATAATACGTACTATAATAGCTGGTATATACGTAGGGGCGGTAGGTACCCTAATCTAATATGATCTAGAAAAGAAACTGAAAACCTCTAGTTTCTATAAAATTGCATTTTTCTTCTTCAATAAGATATGCGTTCGTTTTGTTAGGCTTTAGGGCTTCCAAAGACCCTGCTGGCAAACACAACAAAGCGGGGATCCAGACATGAAAAAAAATAGAAGTACGCATAATTTGTAATTCTAATTGTTATTATATCCAATATACTTAGATCTCAAAGTGCATTTTTAGTTGTTTTGTTAGTGATTATTCTGGAGGGCTCTATGTTCTCTCCGCCTTCGCATGGCCTTAACTGTATCTTGACAAACGTATTGAAATTTAGTTGAATGAGTTGCTGTCGGAGTCGCCTTTGGAAGTTCAAGTTAAGAGTCTAGAGTACAATTTCCCATGTAAACAAAAATTCCAAAGGTGACTCGACAGCAACTCATTTTTGATCGCATTGTATATTATAGTAGACCAGCTAAGTTATGAGTTTATCTAAAAATGGTGCAAAACGCATATACCGGCCGGGGGTCATGCTGTAAAGATAAGAGATATATTATACGCGTGTTTGATTGTATAACAGGGTTTCGAAAAGTGAAATAAATTTACATTGATTATAATTGCGTCTATCCGGTTTTTTTTTCAAATATATCCAAAATGTTGTGTTTGGGGCCTACGTCTGCAAAAGTTACGTTTCTTCTTTAATTGGCGTATCTTACCGTGATTTGCGCATGTACCTACAGAACTAACTTCTTTATTTACGGAGACATTTTTATGGGATTTTGATATTATCCCTTTTTGATCAAAACTACGCTTTAGGCAATATATGTATATAATAGTAGGTACCGACGAGTCAAAAGAGCCCGTGACTGCCAGACTTAAGTAGGTAAGTTATTTTATGAAAGCTGAAAGTGTCTCAAACGCAAACGAAAAAACAAAGCTTCCAACACAGGTACCTAGGTATGATAAGAGGACTATATATGCTTTAGGTCATGGTGGCTTTGGCATCAGGTAACAGGTATCAAAGATATATAAAATATAGGTACCAGCTTATACTTATAGCAAATTATAAAGCGTAATTTTTGTATATTTTGCTTCGGAAGAACATAAGAAATCACGTGGTCATCTATTGTCAAACACTTTATCTGTGGCAATCCCTTGCCAGACACTCTTAAGCTTCGTTCAAACACTGCTGTAATCGCGCGATTCCCATGCGTCTCCCCCGCGCGGTTCTGTCTGAACAATTTGTGATTTATTGTTTAGTTGTTCGCCGCTGATGATGACCGCTTTGCTACCGAAACTCGTTCGAGGTTTTAATATAGGTATTATTGTGGTTCATTGTTGTTTTGGTTTTACTTTTGCAAAATTTATATTACCAGGGGTGCAATTTGACTGTATATCCATGAAAAAATTATTTCTTCAGGTATCCACTAATTTGTGGATTTGAGGACTCGACCACGGCTGCGAATTCCACCCGAAGTTGGTCAACCGGACTTTTATAAAACGACCCTACGGGTGTCTGGTAAGCGGTTGTCACGGTATAAAGTGTCTGACAGTAGAAGACGCCCCAAGAAAAATACACAAAAATCACCTACTCTTTATAATGTGCAGTGAGTAAGTTGGTATCTTATATATCTTTGATACCTGTTACCTGCCAGTCACATTGATCCAAAGCACATACTACTCGATCCCATCGTACCTACCTGTGTTGAAAGCATATACATTGAAAAACTTTCAGCTTTTATAAAATAAGTTACCTATAAGTCTAGCAGGCCCGGGCTCTTGCTCTATACCCGCTCGTTATAGTTTAGGGAGGTATTGCATTGGGGTAAAAAATAACCGCCCCCTCTTTTTTCGGAAATACACGTTTTGAAGCAGCAGGAATCCGAATCAAACAAAATCTCGATGATGTGGATCTGTCGGTCCCCCTGTATTCTCATTTCCTGCTAAACGGCTGAACCGATTGGACCCAAATTTAGTACCCATATTCTCAGACGTAAAAGGGAAAAGCTTTTGGGCAAGTATGTGAACTCTTATATTCCCGAATAAACGGTTGATCCGATTGAAACCGCGCGCGCTTTTCCGTGACTAAAGTAGTAGCAACTGCGCAAATCGACCGTTACCCTTTGTTTTAGGGCAGCTTTAAAAACATAAAATGTGTTATTATACCTACGAGTATTTTTCCGTCCGTGCGTGTGAGGGACGAAGTCTCGACACTGGAAAATCATTAATGTCCGTTTGATAGGTATAGCTCCGGTAGCGGTAGCATAGCTTCCCTATCAGCACAGTGAGAAGTGTTTTTTGCTAATCATTTCGGGATAACGTCCAAATTTGGGCAAAATTTTCAATTATTCGCCGTATTTCTTCGACACAGCTGATTTGATTTATCGTGTTGTCCACTTACATTTATGAATTATGTCTCTATGTGTTAGTATTTTTATGAATTTCTTTAACTGCATTTGATTCTATACAAGATTTCTATTGTCCGATTTGCGATGTTTGATTTGTGTATTTCTCTTGCATTTTGTTATCGTAGCCGATATATTTCTTGTATTTGTGAGTGTGTATGGATGTGGTCTCTTAGTGTGCGTAATATATTTTATATGTTCATATCAACTTCAGGAATGGCTTTCAGTTATTATCAGGCTACACGATGCAGTTACGAAACTAATGCTGCAAACCAGAAGGCTCGATATATTTATACAAAGCTTAAAGGGCGTCCGAAGCACCGACAGTCAATTAAACAATAAGTTCTTTTTTGAGAGTTAAAAAACGCCCTAAAAAGGTACCTACTCATATATTTACTTCATAAAATATGAAGTGACACATTTTTGCGACGCCTATGGTTATCAGCTGTTTGCAATCGGATGCTACGGCGCATGTGCGGTGTTCTACTACAGTACAAAATATATATCTAATATTTTTGTTAGGGTAGGGTAGCACAGGAATTTTGGGAAAATTGGGGGGAGGAGATACCAAATAATGCCCTTACTTTACGATCTTAAAACCAAAACGGTAGAAAATTCATGTTTAAATACTGTGGTAACCAAACATGAAGGATAAGTATGGTAAATTAACAAAAATAGGCATTACCCCCGAACCAAAAGAAGACATTTTTGATTATGAAACCTCTAATTTACAATGGTGACCATGAAAGATACTATATTGGCAATACAATAAGGTGTACCTATTAGTTCTCAGATAAATTTAATTACACCATCGCTGTAGATAACACTATCTGAATATGTCTGATTGTACCAAGTAGGTACACGTGCACATGCGTCATTGTCTTTTATATCAAATGTAATACAACCTACTTACCGATATCGCGCATGAGATACTTATTCAATTTGTACCCACCTTTTCGAATTTTATTTTAATTTCCATAGTAACTAAAGTAATATGATTTAAGATACTATAATGGTAGCTATAGACATTCCTAAATAAGTAATAAGTTGCGTTCTTGTAATATCCACGGTATAACAGATAAGTTTATAAAAAATGGGTTGGTACAGGGGACCAAAATAAACATTTTTTTAATACAAAAATGTTTCTTTTGGGTCACCACAAAAATCTAAAAAAAAATGTTGTCAGATACCAGAATACCAATGATTGCGGTAGGTACCCAACGGTTTTTTGTATAAATGTTTATGGTTTAATTGTAAAAAAATTGTTCAAATTCCTATCCTAAAATCGGACACTAAAGGAAGTGCTAAACAAGACTCTGATCTCGGCGAAATTCGATGTGTAGGTGTTTTTAACAAGAAAATAATAAATCCCAAATTGTTTTGTAAATTTCTAAGATCCTACAATTTTTGTTCTTACAAAAAAATTAAGAGCATTTGCTGTTGGTAAATGGTAATCGACAACTCTGTGGTAATCACGGCTTACCGGCAATTGGCGCGTATCAACCTGTTTGACACTGTTTTTTTTACCTGTACGTGCTTGCAGATTGATACCTGTGATAGGCACTTGATCAGACTTATTATTGTAAAAAAAACATTTTTGGACTTTCAACTTAAAGATACAAAGTGTCGGCAAAATCAAAAAACGAAACATTTTAGGTTTCTTTGGTTATTAAAAAAAAGGTTCGTTTTGGTCGGACGTATCGTGCAAAACCTCTGAAAGCTATTGAACACAATACATTTTCTATAAACAACTGACCTTGGTCTCTTGATTAAATCTTTACTAAAAAAACAATTTTTGTAACTAAAACACTGTAATTACGTTTGCTAGGAATCTATTTTCCGATTTTCACTTGTCAAATCTTCTGCAAAGACCTCAGCAAAGATACAGCATTAACTTTCCCAAACGAAAAACATTTCACTACCAACCAAACCAAGGTACTTAGAGAAGTCCTGTATTACTGCCGGAGCACCAAGATTACATCCCGAGGCGCTTGCGCCGATGGGTATAAGGTCTGAACTCTGAAGGCAATAATAAACTTCTCTACCGTGCTATATTTTTTTTTCACTAATAGAGTGAATCTGTGCTACTAGCTACTCGAAGTCCTCTAAATTAACATATTATATTGTTAAGAATGTGAACGGTTGGACAGAATTTTTTGTTTTTTAATTTAACTTGTCAATCAAGTACGTGGAAGTAAAAGTCAGACAAGCCGAATTTTGTTCTGTCATAAGGAAGATTTCTTCTTAACGTCAAATTATGGTAGATCTTGAAAAATTAACTGACATTGTACCGTAATTAACAAATATTGTAGAATTTGGTTGCAAGTTGGTTTGAATATGGGCCTCAAAGTACTACAAGACGTTCCGGATGATGATGCTGCAGGCTGTGGAGCGATATTGGAAGTAGAAATCACAGAGCTTGAAATTTTTTTAGCGGTATCCAACTTATTTGTCAAGGACGTATCAAGGTATCCTTCGGTTATGGCTGTAGACTTCCAGCCGAGCTTCCAGCCATGATATCTCCACCTGCATCAATTAGTATTGTTGCCTATGTTCTTCGGAAACAGTGACCGAGTGTATAAATCAGTGTTGGTAAGTCTTAAAAAGGTAGCAATATATTTGGACATTTTCACAAATTTGTTAATTCCAATTTTAAAAAAAAGAAGGGGGATTGAACGGTAGGAGGGCGCAATTTCTCCTATTTCTTGTATATATCAAAGAATTGACCCATAACTGTAACCGTTAGGACAATTTTAGTTTTAGCCCGAGCTTTAGGTATTGTGATAATAACTCCCCCTTCAAAATCCTTAATATCCTCGACTTTCATATCACTTTAACTCACAGGCTCAACATGCACCCATTAAACTCATTATCAATTCAACCTAAAAATGCGAAAGATTAAACCTCGGATCAAACTAAGAAACGTCAGAATATACCTTTGTTGCAAGATATACTTCGTCAGGTGCATTATTCAAAAATGCATTTATCTCTTCGGAGCTGAAGATTTCTTTTTAAGATGTCCATCTGACTGGTTTGCAACCAATCATAGCCCAAGTTTGATTCCATAGCTTTATGACTAGCATTTATTTATAAAAATAGAGGCATATTATAAGCGCATAATTTAATGGTCGTAGATAATAGTATATTATATTCAAAGCTTTCAGGCAGTGTTGCAAAATTTCAGTTGCATCACTTTGTTCGATTTCTAACTTTTATACTTGGAAACTTAGTAAATGGTTTTAAAACATAAGAAGTAAATATTGTCCATTTAATATAATAGATTCACTCACAGTACTTCAGGTACTTATTTACACAACAATATTGTGAATGTGAAATACCAAAATGTAATTTTACCAGTGATAAGATTGTTGTCAACCTACTAGTTTTACTTGTAGTTGCCAACACACTCCTTGCTACGCAATAATGCTCATGCTCATGCTTCAATATTTGTTGAGTGCTCATTCTTTTGTGACAAGGAAATATTTATTGTTTTATTGTTACTTTTTTTTCGGAGCTCCTTTAGAAAAGAAAACATCCAAGAATAACCCTGTAAATACAATAATAGCACCAATCCACTGCCGCACAGTTAACACATTTCCAAAAATAAGAACAGATCCTAAAACAGTGAAAAACTTCCTAGTAGTGGTTATCACCGAACAAGGTAATGGTCCAAACTCGGTTACCTACAAATAAAACATAAGTGTGCAATAACAAACATAGTTAAAATGTCTTACAGTTAAAAATATGAAAAGTTGCCCCAAAGCTCCAGCTAACGCTAACAGAAGTATATTACTTAACACGGTTGGATGCCGCGTAACAAATTCAATAAACTTTATCAATTCGCCCGATAATAAAATTGGAACCACAACAAATATGCAAGCAAATTTGTTCATTCCAGACATCATTTGTTGTGCAGTTGGTTTAGCTTCGGCCTTTATACGTTCCTGAACAGCCCCTGTAAGGCCGTCCATTGTCAAAGATAACAATATTAATAACTCTCCCAACCCAAATCCATCAACTTTCTTACTACCAGCTTTATCTTTATACATAAACAATATGACTCCAATTACAATCATCAGAACAAACACATACTTTTTAAGGGGATACGATTTTCTTCCAATTAGAACACCTAGTACCATTACAGGAATGGGTTTTCCTGCCTTTCCCACAACCTATAAATTTACTCTTGTTAAAAAGTAATAATCACCACAGTTACCTGAGTAGGAAAAGCCACCCACTGAAGCGCCATGTATGAGCACACCATAGCCAACAAATACGTTAATGCTGAACTCGCACAGTATATTGTTGGTGTTGTGTCTTCTCCGTGAGGTTTGACATATAGCATGCCTTTTGCAAAAAAATAATTAACTAGGCATTGAACAAAAACTAAAGCAAGCGCACAAGTGAATCGTTCGTCCACCTTTCGTATTGCACCGTTCTCACTAACTTCGTCATTACTGTACTTTCCTCTGGTAATTTTTTCTTGTAGAATTCCAAAGTAAAAGTAACACACAAATATACCAGCTGCACAAACCATAAATTTGGTACTGCCTTGCATTATGGTTGTTTTAAAAACATAAGATATAAATAAAATAAATAACTTTACTTCATCACAATCGCAGTTAGTTATGTACTCTGCCCCTTTTCATACAAGATCTTGTAAATTATGTAAAAATTGAAATTTAAAAAGTACACATGGTATGTTTTGGATTCGAGCATTCGACAGACGACACGTCATTTTAATATTCTTTCCTGATTGGTTGAACCCCACTTTTTCTGTGGTTGACCTAACGGTTATACAGGGGAAGGCAACAGAAGTACCTTTATTATGTACCAAGTGACCTATTTATTTATAGTACAAAACTTTTACGAGAAAAATTTGTGTTTCTAGGCTTTTACAGAATTTTAACATTTTCTACTACTGTCATTTGTATTCAACTATACATTATATGTACAAGTTGTAGGTATATAAGAGAGAGACGGAAATTGGCCATTTGCAAAAGCCTGATGACTCATGTTTGTTGTGGCTTTTGCAGTGACAGAAAATAATGGTTAGTTGTTGTGCTTGTGGTTGCTCCAAAACCGAAAAAAGTAAAAGTTTGGGAATTACATTTCATGTGTAAGTATTGATACCAATATTATTTTTCTGTACGGTCGGAAAGGACCGGCTATACTCCGCGACATCGATTGCCCCTCGTCCTTGCCCCAGAATTCGCAAATTATAATTACTTACATATTTATAAACCCCAAAACAAGTTATACAAATTATGCTCCTTTTTTATCCCTCCTAATTTTATTTCTTATTGTATTGTAATTAAAGGTCTCAACGAAAGGAACCGTTCTCTACCAACTACTGCCCTTCTTTCTGTCCTCTTATCAAAGTACGGGACAGAGGGGGGGGGGGGGGAACTAATTTTATCCTTCATACTACTCTAATGAAAGGTCTCAACGAAAGGAATTAATTTCTACCAACCATAGCCCTCCTCCTCGACCTTTTATCGTGATGGGATATATTATTCCCTTATGCCTTAAGAACGGATGTCGGAAGAAAGTACTCAGAAAGGGCGATTGAGACGTCTGCAAGGAATATATCCATTGGTGATGTCAAAACAAAAGCTATTTTTCGTTGTACTCATAATAAATGTTAAACATGTTATCCATCTTCTCATCCCAATTTTATCATATGACGCTACGCCTGATGATGGCCAGTTAGGCGGAAATCGATTGCGAATAACAAAAAATAAATATTGAATTTCATCCAAATCGCTGGTCTTTTTTATTTAAATTATTCATATGTGTGAAATTTTGATACCTAATCACGCATGCTAAAATCACTTTATTTGATTGTTTCCATAGAGATTTCAAAATCTTAATTAAAACAATCAGTGTCATTTTTAATGCAGTTTATGCTTTGTACTTTTCAACTATACAGTCTTTATAACTAGGTACAAAAGCAGGTATCAGTGAAGAAGAGTACCTACGCGAGACGTTGTTATAATGTAGCCGAAGCTGCTGCCGCCGTAGTGCAATATTCGCTCCCCACAAAGTCAAGAAAGAGGTATAAAAAGGCGCACAAATCTTTTAATGACTGGCGCAAAACTTAAAGGAATAATTACTTCCACACATATTCCATTAATTGTTAGTAATTAAAAAACCATTATCCTTTGTGTAGGTATATTAATATTTTAAAAAATCCACATAGTCTGCATTATATTATAATTATCCAATCGTTGATTGAATAACTTATTCAATGAACGATCTAATTGTTATTTTGCATGTACTAGGACTGTAATGGGAGTCAGGCAAAAATATTACAGTACTAGTCAGGTAAAGATCAACTTTCTAATGTCAAAATAGCCTTGAAATTTAGATTTTCTTGACGGTTTCAGGTAAAGGCATTTTACACTTTGATTCCAAATAATGGTGACCAAGATAGCCGGCATGCATTTAACGTTGGTGCTTGCTCAGGTTTAGCAATGAAATCTGCAAACTCCGCACAAGTCACACTGAAATTCAGCTTTGCGCAAAGTTCAGCCTTCACAAGTTCAACTCTCATACGATTCCTTTCATCTGTCCACAAATTGGACATTAAAGAGAAAACCCTCTCAACATATGCGTTGCTAACTGGAACTCAGTGAGTTCGAGTTGAACCGCTTGAACGTAAGGACGGAAGCGGACAAGTAAAAGTAATGCTAATGTAATTGCTAAACCGAGAAACGCCGCAATTTCGTGGATCGCGTTAGGCGCTGGAAAGTTTGTTTGTTAATGTTGATCACAAGACTTTAGATTCGCAAAAATTACAAATGATGCGTCTAAGCGCGCCCCGGAGGAACGGCGTGTAAACCCGTAGCCCGGAGAATGTAATGGAAACCCGGAAACTCCGGGTGAAACCCGAAGACCTGGCAACCCTACTCCTGCCTAAAGCCCATCACACAATGAAAAAAATAAGGAATAAGAAATAACAAATAAGGAATAACAATTTTGAATCTACTGATCTTTATGGATTTGCACACAACACTGAAATATGAAATAAGCCTAGCCCTAGGAAATAATAAATAATAATTTCGTTCAGTGGAATTTTTATTTCTTATTTCATATTGCGAACCAATGACATTAGAAAAGGTGCGCACGTGTTATCTATTTTCATTATTTTACCTTGTTAACCCAAAATAAAACAAGTATGAGGTGTTGTTTTTGTGAAGTTATGAACTTGGAAGTTGGAATTATATTTGATGTCGGTGCAATTAGCTTGCTATTCCTTATATTTAGCTGCCATTATATTGACATACATTCAAACGGCATGAGTGTGCTGATTGGCTTATAGCGTTTTCGATTGGTAAAACCACAGACAACAAGTAAAACTCGTGTTACAGTTCAAATTTCAATTTCCTATAGCATTTAGTACCTGGCTTTATACAAAATTTGTTAGATGTCGTTTACGGTTTTAAAGTAAAATTTAAGACGATAAATGATAACGCCGATCGCTAAAATTTAATTATTGGAAAAATTGGGGATTGTTGCTTCGCACTTGGTCGTTTTTGCATCCATTTTGATATTAATCGAGTGCGAAAATAAAAGTAATTTGAGTTATCCTTAGTAAAGGTAGTTAGAAGTTATCTACTTATTAGCATTGTCTTAGAAGACTTAGAAAATAACTCAAGAAATAATTGATATAAACAGCAACTTATATCTGCAGGCCGCCCGTTATCTCAGGTATTATTTCCATTGCATTTCGCGGTTTTATCGTCAATAATTATTTTAGGCCTTTTTTTATTTTCCGTTTTCTTTTCCCATTTTGGATTTCGTCTACTTTTGATTTGGAATCGTATATAAAGGAGTTCGTCCGGAAATTGGACGTATCACCGTTTCTACTTGAAGATAATTGCCCAGGAAGCGCCGCACGCCAAGAAGATCCACCTGTACCAATTTATCGAAATAGCCGCTGTCGTCCCAAAGATAAGCTAAACTTCAGCTAAGGTCCGCTCTCTTTTATATTTATTATCACCAACTATTGGAGTCGCCGAATTTCCGTTTGCTATCGAACATCGAATAACAACGTTAACTTTCGTATATCGTAGGATATTACATTTTTTTTTATTAAGTTATTATCACTATTTATTACTAGAGATTTTAATGGACTTATCCTGGGTCAGGTAAGCAGTACTGAATTGGTGACAGTGACTAAAGACCCTGGCGCCCTTATCCCATACTTATCTATGCTAAGAACTTACGCCCTATAGCGGCCGTGCATACTGTTCCAATAGAATTGTTAGCATTCTCTGGAAATATATTATTTATTTTAAATTGCGGTAGCACTCGTACTGCACGAGTGTTGCACGAAAAACTGAAGACCATATGTGAAATTGCTCTCAATAGAACATAAATATTTGTAAATATTTGTTGGCATTTGTCCATAACCTCATTTTAGATTTAGGTCGATAGTCTGCAATGTAAAGTGTAAAATAGGAGAAAAATTTTTTTTTGCTAAATTTGGATATAGCCGGTTTTGCACGCAAGCTCCTCATATGATCTTTGGTTATAATAAAAAGTAGGACAGGCGGACCAATCTATGAAAGAAACCACCATGTATGAAAATTGTTGTTTGGTGAAATCGCCTTTTGAAATTATTTGAAGTTTTTAATCGGTTTTATCTTTTTAACTTTGTACATACCTATGTAGTTTTTATTATAGGTATTTTTATTTTGGGGTATTCCTGCTGATTTGCTGTTTGGTTATTTGGTAGAAATATATGTGATTTGTGGCTGTTTGGTTATTCCCCTGTCTCCATGAGTTGCTGTGGCTTTTATCTTAATGGAATTAGAATTAATATAGACATGTTTACTTACTTTACAGAAAAGAGTCTATTGTTAAATGTAAGATGGTCTCTATAATAGTGTAGTTAGCTTTGTTAGTGTTAAAGAATAGAGCAATTCCTCTTGAGAAATTAAATATACTATTAAAATGGAAAATACGCTTACGATAGATGCTTTAATAGAAGAGTCAGATCCATCGTGGAGCAATAGGCCGATGCAACAGCCAACAATAACACTAAAAAATGTTTCTGATGCAGAAAAGTATTTAGATATGATGGAAAAAGTAAGTAGATACTCATGTGTAATCATCTTAGTGTAACTAATCGTCTCTTTGTTATAGGTGTCTCTAGTGTATTTGCTTTATGATGATATCGAAATTGCACTTCAGCACTTAATTCAACTGCAGCGTGGTGCAATTTTTGAAGTGATTGTAGAGTGGGTCAGACATGCAGAAAAAACAGGTCGCCAATGGCAAACAAAATTAATCGAAGCATTGACAATAATTCAAAACTTCCATTTGATATATAAATTAGGTAGGTATGTATTTAGTCTACATTGAATTTGTTATTTGCCTTTTCTACAATCACTGGGAGAACACGTTTGAATATATAGAAACCAATATTCATTGGTCTCAACTCTCATGATAATACAGGGTGATTAAAAAACCAGTTAGGGACATAGTTCTTTGTCTGCAAAGTATCTAATGACTTTCAGATCGTTTCTTGGATTACCAGTTAAACAGGAAGTGAATACAATTTGATTATTCTTTGTAAGTTTTGCCCTCGGGTAATATAGTATAACAAAATCATAGATGTACATAGATTTCTTTCCGCCATTTTGTTCCAATGTGGTGGAATTGGCTAATTCACGAACCTGACCGAGATATTTATGAGTTACACCAACCCCTAAAGTTTGGTCGAAATCGGTTCATAATTACGAAAGTTAGGGTGTTTCTTGGAAGTGATAAACAGCGTGTATCTTTTCGAGTGATAAAACTCATCCTCGAACTCATCACTACGTGATTGTGCGTTTAACCTGGGGCACACAGTATATCCCAGTAAACGACTGTACACAACATTTTTCTATATAAAAGCTGTTTAGTATTTTATTTTCTACAATAAGGCAGCATTCAGTTGTATTTGTTAAAATAAACAAATGCATAATGAAAAACAATTGAATTTTTTTTAATTTTTAATACAAGTTTTATATGTAACTTTTTATTAGGCTCGTTTGATAGAGATTTCCTTTCTCTTTTTGATAACATAGCATGTTAGTACACTCATGCAAGAAAATTTTTCAAAAAAATATGTGCGATATTTAATTTTTATTGGACATCTACTTTTTGAAAAAATTCCAAATTGTCCCTAAACAATGCTCATGTGTAATACTTACATATAAAGTCACACTAAAATTGACCAAGGACTCTGAATATGCAATAATATACACAAGTTCTATTTAAAACAATGCAACTTTGATATAAATCACTCTATATAAGGATTGGAATTTCGTTGAATATATTTTTAGATTGTAACCTTTTCCTTCAACATGTCCTGACAATGAATTTTAAATATGTGCGTTATAAAATTTACAATTTTCCACCCATGCACTAATGGCCCACGCTGTATATTTTCCACCAAATTGTGGGCATGAGTATATTTATTGATTAAAGGGCCCCATTCACATGCGGATGTGTACGGCGGATCTGTATGGCGGACAGATCCGTGTTGAGCCTCACACAGGCGGATATGGCTGTACACAGATCACGGACAAATCTCAATAGACGAGCAGGCGGCGTTCTGTCGCTATTTCAGTTCTGTAGTACTAGCCCTGGCTTGTGTTGTTTTGAGTGCTGTGGTAAGTGGTATGGATCATTAGGAGAAACTGACAATAATTGGAGGATATACAGTTTTATTTGAAGATACGAAAAAAAACGGACTGTGGTCAAAACAGTGGTTCCTGAAACGAAAAAGGTACTCTCATATGAGTTTACTTAGAGAATTGGAACCGAGAGAGTGTCATGATTTGCACAATTTTTTGGGCATGGACAATGGGACATTTGAAACTTTATTAAAATATGTTCGCCCAGCTATTGAGAGGAATGATACCCACATGAGGCAGTTACCAGTAGAGAGCGATTAATTGCCACGCTACAGTACTTAGCCACTAGAAAGAATTTTGAAGATCTAAAATTCAGTTGTGCAATCTCCCCACAGTTTCTCGGGAAAATTATACCTGAAACTTTCAAATAAGCCATCTGCCTTGGCAGAATATGCTCGGAAATGGCATAAAATTATTTCTTTGTAGTTAGGTGTGCTTGGTTGGTGGAGAAAGCACTACAATCTTTACCAGTATTTAAATTGTTCCCCAAAAATGCGCATTTCGTTCTGGAATGAATATCACCGTAATCTTTAAATTTTACTTTTAAAATATCACCAAAAAGTAACTGATCGGATTGTATTTCACTAACACTTTCACCATCAGTTCGATATTGTTCCGCAATTTTGCTTATAAAGTTACCCAAAAGATCATTCAAATCTTTAGCACAATTTGCGCCTGCATTATATTCAAAGTAATTTAAATAAAATATTTTTTTCAATGACTTTAATTGGTAGTAAGTAGTTGGCCGCACAGCTGGATCTCCTCCACTCGGCCAGTCCCGTCGTTTCGTGGAACCCCCATCCCGCCACCGCCCGCGCTGGCCCGACTTTGGTACAATTTTACGGAACTTTATTAATTATTTTCGAGGTGTTTGCAACGGAATTTCAATCTGCCCTTTTACATGTGTTGTAGGGCGACATTGTACTTTATGAAAACAAAATTGGCAGACGTAAAACTATGACTTGAAAATATTTATTAAAAAAATCATTATTATTAATTCTGCCACCATGTTAACAACAACCTACGTGTCTGCCTGTTTAAAGCAACAATTTAATAGAACAGTCGAGCAAATCTGAGTTGGAACAGACCATATAACGATGACTTGAAAAATCGCGATTTTCACCTGAGCCAGGTGCTTGAACACAACGGCTTTGGGCTGGCAGACTCACGGGTTACTTGAGACGAACCCCATACCTATCGCTCAGCGAATTTTGAGCCACATAAGAGACGCTTAGTGAAATATGTCGCCAGCTCTCCGTCTATATATAGTGTCACGAAGCCTTTAGAGTAAGTTTTATTGAGATTATACACACTATAAACTTTCATTTGTATTTGGGGCATTCAATTTGGTTTTAGCTGAGAATCGATCAATATTTTGCAGTGGAATTGATTTTCTCATGTACCACGGTCTATACCTTTAATGGAGGTATTTGCTTACTTAATAAGTAAGTACTTACATATAGCTTTCTTTTCACCCAAATACCTATAGGCATACATTTGTTGTTTAGGTGATTAAAAGCCCAAGTTGGTGAACAAAGGAGGATACTAAGTATTTGGTTCCCGAAATTCAAAAATATTCATAAATCAAAGGTATCCACTTTTGTGTACTTAATAGATATGTTTATCACCAAACTATTTGTTGTGTTGTTTTTAGTAAACCTTTATTTATATCCCAAAGTATGACCGGTATTAGGTACAGTCCTCGGCCGATACCTAATAGGAACATCATAACTTCCAGTAGGCCGATATTTGGGACATTCAGTATTTTTGAAATATTTAAATTTTTTATCGAAAATACATATCTTAATTCGGATTTTTGAAAAGTGAGTCCACAAGATGAATAAATTCACTAGCCATCACTATTTTGTTCATAACCTATACTCTCAGAAGTAATTCTGTATAGTTTCTCAAAGTTGGGGCTTATCCTTAACTCTTAAGTGGCCAATGTTTGGGACGTTTCCCTTATATCAGCCACAATATAAAACAATGACCGACATTCTATTCCAATTGATATGAGATATAATTATTGTAATGAACTTGCAGGTTACAACAGGAAAGAAGTTTGTGAACGATTTCTCCCATCAAATTCAGAAACATCTCTGTTTGTTGATCTTTATAAAAAAAAGCTGTACTGCATTTGTGAAAAGATGACCAACGCACAAATGGAAACATTTTTGGGACACGTGCAAAAAGACTTTAACACCAAAAAGTTAAAATACATGAATTTTCCAGTACCATACATGGAAATGTATCTGTTACATTGGATATCGTCTAAATATATATCACCTACCGATCTTAGTAATTTAACCAAGGTGTTTAAAGTGATGGAAATGTATGATGCATGTGAGAGTCTAAAAATCAAACTACCATCTCCAGCTGATGTAAGTGACAGATACAACAATAACAAAGACGAACCTTATTCGAGCATAAGTTCTGCAACATCGTCTGCTTCGTTCTACCAAGATCGCACATGGAGTTCTAATTATGAAAATAATCGTTATTTTATTGACTCAAGATGGCCGGGGATATGTCTGATCATTAATCAAGAATCTTTCTACACTGAACCAGACCCGTCACTTGCTGTAATTAGAGAACAACTGCTTAATTAAGCATATCTAATGCATGTGTAATTTCAGCATCTTTTACCTAATGTATCCCTTCAGTTGGATAGAAGGGAAGGTACTATATTCGATCGTGAGGAATTAAGGAAAACGTTTGAACAATTGGGTTACACAGTTGAAATTGAAAATAACTTAACCCATGATGAAATTTTAAGGGCCATTACTGATACTGCAAATAAAATTAGGAAGCACTCTAGTCTAATTATATGTATTTTATCGCATGGACTTGAAGGTGAGGTCTCCTTTAATTAGATCGGTACTAGATTGTATTGTTTAGGAAGAGTCTTTGGTGTCAATAGTATTTCCGTTAATATATCCCAAATACGTGACACTGTCTGTTCGGTAAATACTACTCATCTGAGAAATAAACCTAAAATATTGATTTTACAATCGTGTCAAGGAACGGAATGTCAAACAGGTAATTTGTGGATCTGAATTTTGTTTGTAGTCATATTATCACAATCATTTATTAGTATCCGATGACGAAGACGATGACAATCCTGTTGGAACACCTAACAAAACAGTTTTAAATTCATTTAATAATCAGCATAAAGAATCAAATGTCCAAACCGACAGCGAGAGTAATTTACAAATGGATGGAGGTTCACGGCCAAAACTTGCAGATGTTCTGCTGTTTTGGGCTACTGTACCTGGGTTTGGTGCTGTACGTGATAAAGCAAAAGGATCATGGTTTATTCAGTCGTTATGCAAGCACATTCAAGAGAAGGCTCTTGAGTAAATTGAAAGGGATTTTGTTATTGTATGTTACGTTTTTCATTTTCAGAATGCATTTTGAGGATATTTGCACACTAGTAAAACAAGAGGTGATCGACAAAAGATGGAAGACAAAGAAAATGTCTCGAGCTATGGTCCCAAACAAAGAATCGACCCTTTCACGATTTTTCTTTTTACACTCTTAGTGCTCCTCAAATATAAAGTTCATTTGCACGAAACGAAAAGCTAATAAGTACTTATAAAGTATATTCATTCATAAGTTCCATTCCATAGTCTAACCATGTCTGCTAATCAGCATGAAACTTGAAATAACTATCTGTGATGTCACTTGTGAGATAGATTTCATAAATAATAGATATAGGTACCTAATTATGTATTAATGTGCATTAATGTGTTAACTATCTAGAAAGAACCTTCCAAAATGAATCACAAAATTGTTACTTTTTGAGTAAATGACTACCAAATAAATTTTCAATGAGGAAGCAAGCCGAAATATGCAATAACTTTGTTTTATGTAGTATTTTTCATTTTAATAAAAAAACAGAACATTTTATGTTAAAGAAAATAAACATTATTAAAATTAAATATTTCCTTATATTATTTTATTTGTTTAGTTACCAGCCGTTCCTTTCAATTTATCATAAACTTTTCTAATAGGTAATCTTTTCATTCTTTGAATATGCATTTACGGAACTGATTTAAGTCTGTTGACCAATCATTCGCAGGAATAAGCGATTGTAGTTATACCATTGAACAGGAAATGTTTTTTTTTAACTTTTCTTATTTTTGAAGTGTAATTATTTTTAGCGTTTAACGATGCAAAGGATAAAGTGGGACTTAAATTCATTAATTTTTTGGGAAGGTAGCAACACATTTCCGTGACATATTCGATTGCGACTTATATAGAACACGAGCCTCTTTCTAGTGAAAATTGTACAAGAAATTACTTGCTCCTTATTATTTATTTGTAATTGGTAGTGTAAAATTGTAATTCGTCACGAGTCACATTGGAGGCTGTACTTTGCCCACTGCTGAGTTAGACTGTTAGAGCATTGACTAATAGGGGGGTATCGTGACATCGTTGTGACATTTATGAAATTTTTATGCCAAATAGCAATTAGTGGAAATGGAGTTGCAACTATACAGGGTGGTGACTTGCGTAACGCATCATAGGGATTTCAATGTAAAATTCATAGCATGCGATTATTGGCTCCCCAAATTATTTTAGAGCAGAAATGTATATATTAAGGTTTTTTGTAGGAAAAAATTTTTTACGCAATTGTAAAAATAAAACCCGCATCTTTTTCAATAATATGCGATGCGGGTTTTATTTTTCCAATTTTCCGTGTTTATTATGCAAAAAATTGAAAACTAATACGGTTGATTGACGTAAAAAAATTTTTTCTACAAAAAACCTTAATACATTTTTGCTCTAAAATAATTTGGGGAGCCAATAATCGCATGTTATGAATTTTACATTGAAGTCCCTATGATGCGTTACGCAAGTCACCACCCTGTATAATATATCCATCAAGGTCAATCTTAAAACTTCCACGATGAATGTTCTAAATTATATCGAATATTACAAAAATATTTAACATTGTACAATCAAATTAAACACCATCATCAAAATATCCGTAACATCGAAAGACTATAAGAACGCTCAGAAGTAGAAAAGTAATGACATAATTACTACTAAATCTTGTCTCAGCTTTACCCAATCACATTGTTGATCCATGTTTTAGCAGATTATTTGTAGGTTGAGAGAACGAGAATATTCTTGGTGATTTAAATGATGATGGAAAAAGTAGGACCATCATTGCATTTTCCAACTCATGTTTGAAGGCGCCATTATGACCACTTCCTCAGTCTACCCATCCAAGCCCTTAAACTACTCCTACAGTTTTCAAGATATTTAGTTTGTTCTTTTTGCATTCGGTAGCTTTTAGCTCTGGAACCTGAACGAAGAAAAATCTACATCTTGACGATGTGTGCAGACTGCACAATGTCGTATATTGAAAAAAGCAGATCAATGTCAACTGTCTTATTTATAGTTTTGAAATTTTAACAAAATATTCTAGTAAAGGCCAGCGTATCGCATGAAGATCAGGTGTGCGCATGCGCAGTGCTAAGTTTTTGATTTACAAGAATATTTATTTATGCCTTAACTTATTTTCTTTTGTACACATACATAAGACCGTTAGCACTACTACGCCCACATAATACAATGGTTTAAAAAAAACTACTCACTCCTCAGTAACTTTAATGAATCAAACTAATAGGTATAAATCATACACGATTTATGATCTTGTAAAGTATGACTGATACACCATTCCTGTTGAAGTAGTTGCAAAGTATAGAAAGCAACACCACCACGTCGCAAACCCAAATAATCCTCTAAATACAATTGGATTGAAAACCTTGAAACAAGAGTTAAAATTACTCCAATATGGTGCTAAGTCAATAATACATACAGATTTTAAATCTTCCACTGATGTATGAAATTCTTGTATAGACTGTATCAAAGTGGAACTAGAACTATCACCATTTTGCGAAATATGAGATGCACCATCTACAGGACAGCTTTCTTCACTATCAAACACTCCTTTCCATGAAAAACCTCCCAATGTTTTATACATAAACGTTAAATTTAAGCAGATGATCAATGGTATGATATATTGTAAGGTGGCCACACATAAGTAATAAAATACTGCTGCAATCTACAAGCATTTTTTAAATTCAACATGCCGATAGCACAACTATACATACTCTCTTTTGTAGATCAACATTTGTTATTCGTCCAGCCTCTTTTTTTTGATCCTCCATTCTATGATATGCCATATCCAAATAAGCTTGCAAATACCATGGCGTTAGCATCATCTTCACTAACATTGTTAGAATAACTGCAATGAATCTTACAGACTCAAAAGTGTGCGGATGAAGTCTATAATATGAGAAATATTTCTGTTTGTTTGGATAAGACACTACTTACAAAGGTTCTGAAAAGCTTGAGAATTTTCTGACCGTCAAATAATTGCGACTAACCGGTTTTATCCATAAAATTACTAATATAAACGGTAGCACAAAACTTAAATTCAACAATAGTTGTTTGATTCTTTTTTCTTTAAAATACCTAAAATTAATAAAGTATAAATACAGTACCTAAGTAACTATTAATACAAACTAAATGTCCATTAAATCTTTACACAAATAAGGTAAGTTGCTAATCTAAAGAAATTGTATAGGTACAGGGTGTTAGATTTGAGTTGTGCAAAAAAAGTCTAGTGGTAGAGAGTACCGAAACCGAAAGAAACATCTTTTTCCAAAGAAACCGAGGGCCGCAAAAGTTTCTCTTGGAAGCTATCTTTTAAAAAGTTGGCAAAATTACGTTTCTTTTATAGTTATTGTTTCTCTGAGAAGTTTCATCAAGAAGAATGCCACATCTTTGGATAGGATATTGGGTAGGTATGCATTTGAATATATATGAATATGTTGGAATGAAATTATTCCACTTCAGTAGCAGAGAATAAGCGACATTCTGTTGTTACAAATAAAGCAAGTATGACGGGATTCGAGTTTTAATCTCCTTTCGTGTGAACTTGATAGTTCTAATTTTTCTTAAAACTCGTTAAAATAGTTCCCATTCAAATTTATGCAAAAAATCTCGCCATATGATCTGAAATGAGGATTTTCAATATTTATTATGGTTTACTTAATACATACACATTTTAGAGCAAAATCTTCTGCAGATGGACCCGAAACTCTAATCAGAATTACAAAATTCGTTTCAAAACTGTGTTAAAAAATTATTCATATAAAAATGGTACGAAAACTCAAAAATTTCATAATCATTATTGTGTTTTAATGTCAGATAATAAACCTTATTCTAAAAAAAATTTAGTGCCCTATACGGAGCAACCCATACCTTTAATTGTACCGACAATTTCCAACGCAAAAGCTTATAGAAATCGTTCTATGTAGTTTATCCGCAATGAAGATGACCATATACACTATGTCCTATGTACAAGATAAGGATGTCTATCATGGGGATCTCCGGCATGACATTGAGGAAAAGTTGCGCAATTAACCATCATGCTTTAAAGAAAACCAAAAAATTCCAATTACTTCCAAAGATGTCAGATAAACAGAAATTTTCCGATTTCGTTTTATTTTTTTCTGATGTCATTTGAACAGACACAAAAAAATAACAAACACTTTCTCATTGCAAAAAGTGGCAATGAGAAAGTGTATTTTTATATTTTTTTGTATCTGTTCAAATAAACATTAGAAAAAAATGAAAACGAAATCGGAAAATTTGGGTTTGTCAGGCATATATTCGGTATCGGAAGTAATTGGAATTTCTTTAAAGCATGATAAATAACTGGTTAATTATGCAACTTTTCCTCAATTTAACTATCGTCCTTCTATTGTTTCGGAGGTCCCCATGATAAACATCCTTATATTGGACACAATGTATACTGTAGGTTTCGCATCATTTGCATCCATCCGTTTTACCGCGCCATAATTCGGAAACAAAGGCGAATTTTTGAATTCTGTTTTCGGAGACAGTTAACTAATGGCTACAGTTCGTCGACATTAAACAGACAAATCGGTTAACTCATGTAAAAGCAAGCGCGTACGCTCAGGCTACACGTACAATACTTATGTTTATTACCACCCGTAGAGGACCCACCTGTAAAGGAGGTATTGCATTGGGGTAAAAAAACGACCTCCCACTTTTTTTACGGAAATGCACCAGAAATCCGAATCAAACAAAATCTCAATGATATAGATATGTCTGTCGGTTCCGTCTGTACTGTCATTTCTGACTAAACGGCTGAACCGATTGGAACCAAATTTGGTACACATATTCTTATACATAAAAGAAAGGACTGAAAAGCTTTTGGAGATAACGCGCATGCGCAGGTGTGGGGGTGGTATCTGTGCCAGCCACAGAAAACATAATCTAAAACACTATTAATAAAGTGGCGTTTTACAACTTTTACTAACTAATGTGGCGCTATCTAAACTCCATTCCAACTCTTCAGGAGAAAATTCAGTATCAAAAATAACTACTGTCTGTTTTTACAAGTTGTTATATAATTTTTATGACTTTAGAAAATACTCGAAACTTTTACCCAAAAATAGTCACCAGTATTTTGTTCGGCACTTTGAAATACTAAAAAGCATTTTTCTTTTTTTGTTCTTATCACAAAATCTCATTACAGAACGGTTTCTAATGATTAAGGAACTCTGGTTGGAACATTTCACCAGAAAAATGTATCTATTTTGAGTTCCAAAAGTAACTTTTATTGTTACTAATAAAAGTACCTAATACAGCCTCAATTTGAAATATGAAAGTAGGTTATGTAAAGGAGGTCTGTAAAATGTGATGACTCAGTTGACGTACCGGAGAATGTAATAACAAAGGAGTATTATTGTCGGGATGTTTGCGTGGATTAATTTACCTCTATATTTTTCTTACGCATAAAAATGAGATAAAAGTAGGTATAATATTCCTTCTGTAAATTCGCTTTGCAAAACGCGCCATCTATATTCTCATGTAGCGACAAGTGGCAATTTGTTGTTAAGCGTTTGTAACATCAGTTACTTTTAAAATCCACGACACCTGTGGCCCTTTCAGATTGTCGCGTCCAGAGCTGCGAAATCTCGATGTCCAAATCTGTTACCTTTTTTTTCCGTAAGGTTGTTTCACTATTCTAGTCTTACACTATGGCGACAAGAATTAAAATTATTCAAATAATGATAATAATCAATTAAACATATACCGGATATTTTGTAAAATTATGACCATGATCATGATCACTTTTATCGTCCAGCAGTAAAACTGCAGTTACAATTTTTTTCGAACTCTCAAACCAATTGCTGTTACTGTATTTTCATGTTTAATAGAAAATTTAGTTGAAATGCGCATTTTCGTTCTCGTCCTGTTTAAGAATGCACCATCTCATTGCAGGAATTTTGGAAAACTTTAGAGAGAAACATTTGTTGTATGTGAAAAACATGTTTGTTCTGGTCCCTTCTATCAAAATGTAACCACCTGTATATTCTAGAAAAAATGGACTGAGAAAAATAGTTAGTAGGCAAAACAATTATTCCTAATAGTATCAATTTTAAAATGATCTATGAAGTTTTGGTTAAATTTATCAACATGGAACTATTGGAACCAGTGCAGCAATTAAAATAATTTAAATACATGCAGATTCAATGGACACACACTTACTTCAATAGATCCCAATGCATTTTTGCTATCCTTAATCCGGGAAAAGTAAATAATGCTCCCAAAAAGCCACAGAATACAGCTATAAAAAATTTAAACACAATTTTGGACAGCAACCCTCTAAAACAGCATTGTTTGGTAATTGAAGTCATTCAGTTCTCTAACTAATTACGAAGATTGCAATCCTTGCTTGGTTAAAAATGCAGATGTGCTTGCGTTAAAGTTTGCATATGCGACATCAAGACCCACTTCCAACACGTTTTCATCAACGATTAACACCAACATGGATATAAGAAAATAAACAAAACCGGTAACAATACACGTTGATCTTTCCCCTACTGATTCTTCACCTTTAAAATATTGTGTTGTTAAGGATATTAAAAGTTTTCTGTACCAAGTTAAGGGATTTATTGGAAATTGTTCTGCAATAACTGCCGAATTAAAGGATACAGTGCAAATGTAATCACCAATGCACACCACATCATGCTTAAATTAACTTCATTTTTCTCAGGAAAACTGAAATGGTATATCTACAATGTTAAGTGATTAACTCAACTTTAAACGACCCATAAATCTTATTACCTCTGTTATTATATATACAAATATAGAGTATAACGTAAAATCCAGCAACCATTGATACTCCACAAAATATCGCAAGTGTACCACATCTAATGGAGAAACTGCACATGTTTCTAGTTGGATGTCAAGACTTCTAGGAACGTGAAATGTGTCCTTTTTTTGGTTGCCATTTTCCACATGCTTATGTCCTTTTTTCCATTTCAATTGATCTTTTGGTATATTTGCTAATTGTCGAAGTTCCGAATCTGTGGGGTACAAATATCTAATGAGCCCTGTAGAGCACAGTAACCATCGAGCCAAAGAATAATGTGGTCCCACCTTTTGAATGATGCTTATCATAACAAGAGTGATTACGAGTTGTGCTCCTAACAATGCCTACAAAATGGGATGATTTTTACATTGAATACCTCACTGTTACAACACCTACCATCTTTAAAGTAACATTAACTAAAAGGGGTCATTTAAAGAAATTTTTAGAACTGAGCTCTTCTCCTTGGATAAATTTTTTATTCACACTATTTATAGAGCTTAGCCATTGCAGATCGAATCCACAAAATTCTGCTGTCAAATTGTTTTTAAGAAATTATATAATTTTAATAAAATTATGCACCCTAACAACGCACTTGTAAAGTTTTATATCACTCCAATGATTTGATTTTACTGTAATGAAGAGGTTATGTTGTGTGAGTGAATTTTATTTTGGTTATATTAGTTCTATGGTTCCAAGATCGAACTTGAAACAGACAAACATCAGTTGCTCTGTGGTCATTGGCATATATTATCCAATTTATGATATTTCAATGCTGTTGTGTAAGCTTAGACATTTTGTATCTAGAAATCGTCCGTAATTTAAAAAATTGTATTCTGCTGACTGCCAATTAAAGAGATAACAACACATGCGCATTTTTACAAAGTCGCGTCGGATTCTTATGCAATGCAAGTGAGTTTAGGCCATTTGAACTTTTGTAGGCACAACGAATGGTATATTCGTTTCGTTGTCCTTGGTACGTAACCTCACAAAATCACAATCTTTTTTTCATGAGTCCTTTATTTCTTATGAACTTTGTACACACTTTACAAACACCACACAAGCTACAACATTTAGTGGAAAGCACGAAGCCATGGCTTTGGAAGCTATAAGATATCAAAACAAAACTTTAGAAATATTGGATCAACTGCTTTTACCTAGCACATCACAGTACATTTCTGTTAAGGACGTTGATGATGGTTGGAACGTTATAAACAAGATGCAGGTTTTGTTGCTGATCGTTCGTATCAGATTATCACAGTTCATTTTGTGTAGGTTCGTGGAGCTCCTGCAATAGCTATTGTGGGATGCCTAAGTTTAGCCGTTGAGCTTCACAACACATCTTTTAATGCTAAAGAGGATTTAATGGAGTTCATAAGGAACAAATTGAATTATTTAGTCACTGCCAGACCCACAGCGGTTAATATTAAAATGGCTGCAGACGAGTTAAATTTGTTGGCATATCAGTTAAATAAGTGTCCGTCAGTTACAGCAAATGATATGAAAGTTAGGTATGTTTACATTCATACACGATTTTTCCACCAATTTTGTGGCATGGTTGGGGTTAAAATAAAGTACTCCGTTGTAACACCTTTACTTTGTTTTCAGCCCACTATACATTACAAGTGTGCATGTTTGTGACACTGTCCGTTCTGTATTCTGCAGCTTAGTAATTAGTATGTCATTTACCTGAAACCACTTGCGGTAACAGCCTATTAATTACCTACTGAAAATCAAAAAACACTGAATTATTACAAATTGTTGAATTACAAAAAATATGTCAAAGGTAAATACCAACCTGTTTATATTATTAATATAATCAAATCCTACATTTGATGCAATAAAAAAAACTTGGTAGGTAGTTGAATTTAAAAAAACCAAGTTACCTTGGAGTGAAGTTTTGAAAATTGACCGTTCGGCATATGTTTCATGACTGGGAACACTGCGGAATCACTGCGTTCTAAGTTTTATTATAACTGCGATATTTAATTTTTACTGGACATCTAATTTTTGAAAAAATGACGAACGGACAAGTTTTACTATGTTGATAATACAATATTTAACCTAATGACATTAAAATATAAATCAAAACTATTAAAATACGGTCTATTCAGTATATCTTCCGTTGCACGTCATTGCCTGAAGAAAACGACGTACCAACGTAAATTTACTTTCGTTTATTAAGCAACACATTAAGCTTGTAGTTTATTTTGGCCGCAACAATTGGTAGCATTTCGCTATGTTGTCGCGTTTAAATTGGTAAATTTGACAGGTTGCTTTTGGTTTACTTTTCGTTTGATTTGATTTTGATTATTTTCTACGTCTTTCGCTGTGCATTGGTTTGAAGAGTAATTACTGAATAATTTTGATAACCCGTCAGTAATTGTGTTCGATAACGGGAAAACAGACAACATTAAAGTGTGGTTAGGAGATCATAATGTGCAGTTCTCCGAAAATGATTTTAAAGCCGAACTGTTGAAAAGGTTGCACAGTAAGTACGTTCGCAAATTATTTGGTATTATCTAAATCTTGT